AATGATAATAATAATAATAATAATATATATATATATATATATATATATATATATATATATATATATATATATATATATATATATATATATATAAACATTGAAAACCAAAATAAACAAATAAACTCTTTGCCATACGATCAGCAAGTTAAACAATAATTAAATGAAACAAAAATAAAGTTTTACGCGTTAAAAGGTCCCAGTCCCCAACCAAAACTAAATTTAAAACCTACAAATCAAAATTTAGACTTTAAATTAAATAAATTCATCACTTTGGAAATAACAGAGGGATTATTCACATTCCAACACAAACAAATAAATAAATCTAAATTCACATATAATTCCAAACAAAAGTATTGTATACATAAATTATGAAAAATAAACAATTAATTTCTTTCTCATTGTTATACACCATTTATTGTGTGCATTTAAATAGATGATTATGAGCGATGCCTGTACATTTGCATGCTTAAAAGTTCATTTCAATTCATCTTTAGTTCTATAGCGCTTTTACAATGTACAGTAGATTGTGTCAAAGCAGCTTAACATAGAAGTTTTAGTAAATTGAAAATGTGCCAGTCCAGTTTTCAGAGTTGAAGCTGCAGTTTAGTTCAGTTCATTGTGGTTTAATTTTCGCTGCTGAAAGTCCAAACACTGAAGGGCAAATCTATTGACGTGTAGCTCCACAAGTCCCAAAAGTGACACCATTAACTACATAACTTAGAGCATGCCAAAAAAAAAATAAACCTTTACTTAAGGAAATATAAACAAGAAAAAATTAATGAATACATAGGAACAATTAGAACAAATAAACATATTAAATAAACATTTAAACCCATTAAGTTGACTAATAATTATATTTATATGTGACCTCTGTTCTCACATTGGTTAAAGCCAACTTGGCTGCCTCATACAAAAAGTCATTGTGGTCTGCCTCAAAGCAAAGTCCTCCAGAAAGAAGTAAGACATTCTGTCTCATCCCAGTCAACAATGAAATTGTTTGTATTTTACCGCTTTCCACATTTCTCTCATTGAACTACGCACTTGCATCCCACAAATAACCTGTGACTGGCACATTCCATCTGAAACAGCCTTTTCAGAGAGTATTTTTCTTGTTCTGATTTTCTCTCTGTCTTTGCTTTCACACACAGCTTTCAAAATTAAAACACTTTGCAATCCTCTCAAGAAACTTCTACAAGCACCTTTTGGGTTGCATCCCACTAGCTGAGAAGCAGTGCTATAAAGCATATCATGAATTCTAAAAATAAACTGTGTACCTAAAATAGAAAACACTGAATGACTAAAGAAATGAGAAGAGTAAGAGAAATTTCATTGCGTTCTAATAAATGCCCGTGTCATGTATTTCTGCAATATGCACCATTAACATCAAACTAATCACATGAAATGTTGAGTAGATGATTCAAGGCACAAAAGGTATAAAAGAATGGCTTTTTATGAGTCCTCGCTCCCCATTGAGCAATCAGGGTATGGTCTGATTCAGAAGTAGTCCACCTCACAGTGTATGTGTTTTTGTAGAAGGTGTACTTACTTTACCTGCAATGTTCCATGCATTCAGCTTTTGCAAATAACCCAAAATAGCTCCTCATTGAAGGTCTGTCTAGAACACAAAGTCGTCTTTGGTTAATATAAATGCTGTGAAAATGTGTGTATATTCAAAGCATTTAAAGACGTGTGTTTGTGTGTGTGTGTGTGTGTGTGTGTGTGTGTTTGTGTGTGTTAAGAAGAATTAAAGTTAACATAATGAAGTAAGCCAAAATATATTACATATATCATCCTCTTGCTGTCAGTGATTTGCTTATACAAACCGGAAGTCAGGTAGCATCGTGGCTCAGTGGTTACCAGTTGGCATTTTTGTGCTGAGTTTGCAAGTTCTCCCAGTGTTGGCGTGGGTTTTCTCCAGGTGCTCCGGCTTCCCTCACAGTCTAGGTCATGCGCTTTAGGTAAATCGAATAAGCTAAATTGGCTGTAGTGTGTATGGTATGAATAAGTGTGTATGGGTGTTTCCTGGTACTGGGCTGCAGTTATAGGGGAATCAGCTGCGTCAAGCATATGCTCGAATAGTTGACAGTTCATTCTGCTGTGGAGAGCCCTAAAAAAAAAAGAATAAATAAATAAATAATAATAACAACAACAACAACGATAATAATAACAATAATAATAATAATAATAATAATAATAATACATTTTATTTGTATAGCACTTTTCCTACATAAATGCAGCTCAAAGTGCTTCACAAACAACAAACAAGCATTGTAAAATAAACCAAAAAAAAAAAAGATCGACAAAAAAAGCAAAATAAACAACAAATATATACTCAGATAAAAACATACATGTACACACATCTCTACATATTAATTAAACATATCTACACAATCACACACACAAAACATATGCATATACATGCACACACCGAACATGCTGTGGGGATGTTTTTCAGTAGCAGGAACTGGAAGACCAGTCAGGATTGAGGGAAAGATGACTACAGCAGTCTACAGAGACATCCTGAATGAAAACCTGTGTCAGAGTGCTCTTGACCTCAGACTGGGGCGACGATCATCTTCCTGCAGTATAATGATCGAAAACACACTGCCAAAATATCAGTGGAGTGGCTGCACAACAACTCGGTTAATGTCCTTGAGTGGACCAGCCAGAGCCCAGACCAAAATTTTATTGAACATCTTTTGAGAGATCTGAAAATGGCTGTACGCCGTCGCTTCCCATCCAACCTGATAGAGCTTGAGAGGTACTGCAAAGAGGAATAGGCAAAAATTCCCAAAGACAGGTGTGCTAAGCTTGTGGCATCATATTCAAAAAGACTTGAGGCTTTTATTGCTGGCAAAGGTGCATTAACAAAGTATTGAGAAAAGGCTGTGAATACTTATTTACATGTGATTTTTCAGCTTTTTACTTTTAATAAATTTGCAACAATTTCAAAAAATCTTTTTTCACATCGTCATTATGGGGTAATTTGTGTGGAATTTTGTGGAAATAAACTAATTTAATACATTTTGGAATCAGGCTGTGACATAAAGAAATATTGAAAAACGCTACCCGCTGTGCCACCATGTCGCAAAAGTTATTAAGTTTAAATGAATTAGGTGCTGAAAATCAGTTGAGGCTCTGGCATTATTTTTATAGCTCCTGGTGTGTTTTGTTTAAGGACTGTTTGCAGGTGTAAAGTAGGGTGGCTGAGAGAGCTCTAATTGTCTAAAATACTTAAGAAAATGCAGGCATATAGTAAAACACAGTAAAACAAAACAATGAGAAAACAACAATTTGACAACGTCTGCACACATTCCCATGCAAATTCAAAAATGTACTGCAAATATTGCAGACCACAATGGAGATGTGTCAATGGTGTTGTCAGAGAGAGCTGAGTTTCTTGTTTAGTTTAGGGTCTTCATTGTACTGGTACTTGATGTTTGTATATTTTAAGTTTTTAGAGTAACTCTTGCTAACGTGGTATTAAAAGAACATTTCATTTATCAATAATTAATTTGTCAAATTATTAGGACTAAATATATACACACAACAAGAAACCATATGATCAGTACATTAAAGTAAACAAAAACTCATGTCACTGCACTATTTGGTGTAGGTTTCAGTATTTGCATGTTTTTCTATTTACACGTTTTTTTAACTTGCACTGTGATTGAGCTCTCTTGGCGACCAAAGTACTCAATATTCCACAGTGACAGTTTTAAAATCATGCTAAAAGACAAATCTGATAGAACCAAATTATGTTTATTTACATGTTTATTATCACAGGACAGATCGATCTTATTTTAGGGTTGAAACTTCAGTGGTTCTCAACCAAGTTTCTGGAGGACCACCAGCTCTGCACATTTTCCATGTCTCCTGAATCAGATTATCAGCTCATTAACAGAGACTGAAATACCTGTAATGGCTATGACAGACAAAGGAGACATCCAAGACATGCAGTGCTGGTGGTCCTCCAGGAACAGGTTGAGAAACACTGCATTACATTATATTATAGGCATTGCATTATTATGTACATTATATGTCGGCATACATTATATGCATAAATAGCAATTTAAATAATTTATATAGTCCAGCAAAAATGACAGTACAGGGTTCAAATGCATGCATTTTGTTAAGTAAAATGAACTTTAACGAAAATTAATAAACAATTAAATAAAGGAATGTACAAAATACGAATGACTTTTATACGTTTATACTGTATGTTTCTGGGAAGATGAGAAGTTATGAGAGAGGTATCATGAAGATAGACTGTGTTTGAGTTGTGTATTATAATTCACAGAGGTCATGTTGTAACCCAGAAACCCAACTCAGCTCATAAGATAAGCTCTGTGCTTCCTCAACTTGACAGAATGTTTTTATAGTGTTTGGAAGTTGCACAACAGTCCAGCAATAAAATAAAACAAAAGCTTGTTAATTTGATGAATTCATTCTCCAGGTCAGAGTCACACCGAGTGTTATGGAAACAGATCAACCCATAGTTAAAAAAAACAAAAAAAACAGATGCGCTGGTTCTTCTCACTCAACCTTTTAAAATGCACCTTAATTCCCTGAACAAAAGTGTTTTCAGATTTGAGAAAAGCAGCTGAAATGAAGGAAAGTCAAGTTTGTTGACGAACTCATGTTCGAGATCTGTTATGTGGTCTGGAATGTGAAAATTAACTTATAATGTATAGTATTTCTCCTCTGTTTATTGACTAGCCATTATGGGCATTTTTGTTTGACTGCTAGTAATATGTTGTCCCTGCTGAAATGTGCTCTATGACTATTTACTTGTGTTAGGCTGGAAACTCGAACCCTTCCAGAAATGCACAAACACAGGCACATTAAACCATGTGACTGCAGAGATTGAATGTGGAGTTTATATAGGCAGCCAGACACTAATAGCATTAAAAGCCACAGAAACACTAGCGTACCTCTCTGTTAAACCTCCTCAGAGTTTACTTCTGTCCAACTGCAGAGTAATTGTGCTTGTTTTACAGAACACATTTGCCAGTGTGTTTCACATGGAATATGAGGAGATTGCTGGATCCACAGACTTCCCAAACAGGTGGGTTTATCCTTAAACAACAGAAGATAACACAATGCAAGACAATGCATCATGTTTAACAGAATAAATGATATGCTACTAATTTGTACCAAACCTTTTTCAATTTGTACATTAGTAAACCAGTGAAACTTTTGTTCACATTAATGCACTTAAAATTAATGTGTTAATGTGCTGTTAAAGTAAATGTTAAAGAGGCCCTACTTTGCATTATAAAAGGTCATATTTTGGTTTTAGGGGTCTCCAATAACAGGCTAATATGCATGTAAGGTCAAAAAACACTTTCATTGTTATATAATATGCATTTATTTTCCCCTAATTATTCCAGTGACTCCCATTCGATTTGTTCAGTGATTTATTTGTTCCCAAATCCTCCTTAGCGCGAAGCTAAGCTGATTGGTCCAGCACAAGACAGAGATAAATGGAAGAAGCATGTATCGCGTTTTCAACGTGGTTTTATACACGACATGTGAATAGCCCCATGAAGATTTAACCTGAGAGATACAGTACAAGCACTGATCTTGAATAGATATGTGATTCAAGCTACACAGAATGATTACAAGTCAATTAATTAAACATATATTTTGCAAACTACACAAAACGAGGCAACAATTTTATTCACACTTACATGTTATGATGTGGAGGAATAAGAAACTGGTCCATATGAACTGTGACAGTTACTGACAAAGTCCCTGTCAAAGTCTGACAAAGACCCATACATAATAGTCTCTGCTGCTCCTTCCTTTAATAGCAAACAACACGATTCATTTATTCGACTCAATAGAATTAATCGTTTTAAACACGGTGCACTTTCAGATTCAAACCTCGGCTGGATGTTTTTATTCATTTGGAGCTGTGTACACTCATGCATGGAAAGTCATTTTCAAAAACCCTTTAAAATACACAATTTTTGAAGTGCATGATGGCATGTGAAAAAAATAAATATTTTGAATTTGTAGTCATGAACAGGTAAAGTCTGAAAGCATATCACATGACATCCACAAGGATATGATAACAGGACGTAATTTAACTACTGCAAATATGTGTACAAAGGTCAGCCAGTGAATTACATGTAACCATCGTACTCAATTGTTTTCATTTTTTTTTTCATGACTACTTTGTTTTTGAGTGACATTCATTCAGAAAGTAAGGCACACATGCTGTCTCTGGGGCTGTACCTTTCCAAAAGGTAAACATTTTTAGCTTAAGGTATCAATGTGGATGCCTAAACAGTACAATATTATATCTTTTCAAAATTGTTGGTAAAAATATGTGGCTTTAAGGTATCAATATGTACCTTAAATTGTAGAGTTTGAAAACCTTTAAACTGAACAATTATTTCTAAGATTGTCTGTTTTTAGATGAAGTAAACTAGTAGCCAGGAGTGTACAAACTCACTTTCATTTGTACATTTCATTGACATTTTAAATGACTTAGAGTTTTTTTAAGTCATATATGGTTGCTAAAACATATATGGTTGTAAATGGACAGATAGGTCAGGATGTGTCATAAGCATAGCCTTGACTTTGGCAGGTTTTTCTGTGTTTTTATGCCTTTTGCTTACATGCCAGTTTTCATTTATTTTTTGCATGTTTACAAGAAGAACTTTATTCTTTGTTATTAAACGTCTTCAAAGTGGTATGGGAAATATTTAATCTAAGAATGCTTTTCGCAAGTTTTTGACTAGTGTGCCAAACTAGCTCAAGTATTTTGAGTCATTTTGAGAGTAGTCAGATTGGAATGGGCATTTTGAACAGGTTTGTTTCAGGGTACTAGTAAGAAAAATTTAAATCATCATAATCTTCCCTTTCTGAGTGTTAAATATTGTATAACGTTGATGCAAACTTTAGTCTTTCCAGTAAAAAGATAGTAGGGATTGACTTGTAGTTGTTCTGGCTCTCAGATACAGTAGTATGTGTCATATCACAATGTCAAGAAAACAATTTCAAATAATGTTTGAGGTGGCGTCACGGTGGTGCAGTGGGTAGCATGATCACCTCACAGCAAGAAGGTTGCTAATTCGAGCCCCGGCTGGGTCAGTTGGCATTTCTGTGTGGAGTTTGCATGTTCTTCCTATGTTAGTGTGGGTTTCCTCCGGGTGCACCGGAAGTCCAAAAACATGTGGTTATAGGTGAATTGGGTAAGCTAAATTGTCTGTAGTGTATGTGTGTGAATTGGTGTATGGGTGTTTCCCAGTGATGGGTTGCAACTGGAAGAGCATCCGTGCGTAAAACATATGCTGGAGAAGTTTGCGGTTCATTTTGATGTGGCGACCCCAGATTAATGAAAGGACTATGGATGAATGAATGAATAAAATATAAATACATAATATAATTGTGTACACTATAACAAGTGATTATTTGAATTTAAGAGAAGTGAGTAAACTTGTTGAATAGTTAAATAGTTAAAAATAAACTATTAATATTAGGTTAAGTCAACTAAATAGTTCCTAGTTTCAACAGGTTAACTCACTTGTCGTTTTAAGGCGGCAATGTGTTTTCTCACTTCTCAAAGGCAAAGCAACTAGTCACTTATTTACAGTGCCAAAACATACTTTTATGGACACTTTTGTTGTACTTTATTTCAGATATTTACATTTACATATTTAGTCTTCCTTTAACTCCATTATATTGAAAAAGTGTCAGTTTTACTTATATGCATATTAAGTGTCCAGCAAAAATGAGTTCACTCCCCACAGATCTCACTTTTAAATTAATATTTTCTATAGGAAACTATACAATAATACATTTGTTCATATACATTAAATTAGTGGGTATCAAAGCCAAATCTGGAGCTAATATAAAAAATAAACTATAATCATAGTCTAAAAAACAGTACACCTAAATAAGAGAATCAAAAAATGTATACATAAAAGTCAGTAGAAATTTTGTAGTTTGTAATTTTTTTATTTATTTTAAATGCATTATCTTTTTATTTCTAAAGATGTTAGATGACCAAACTCTTATTATAAATATAACTGTAATAAAAAAAATTATTTAAATGCATCAAAATACAGTTGAAGTCAGTATTATTAACCTCCCTATGATTTCTTTTCTTTTTTAAATATTTCCAATGTGATGTTTAACAGAGCAAGGAAATGTTCACAGTATGTCTGATAATGTTTTTTTTCTTTTAGAGAAAGTCTTATTTGTTTTATTTTGGCTAGAAAAAAATCAGTTTTTAGTTTTTCAAGAACTTTTTTAAGGTCAAAATTATTAGCCCCTTTAAGGTATATTTTATTAGATAGTCTACAGAACAAACCATCATTACACAATAACTTGCCTAATTACCCCAACCTGCCTAGTTAACTTAATTAACCTAGTTCAGCCTTTAAATGTCACTTTAAGCTGTATAGAAGTGTCTTAAAAATTATCTAGTCAAAAAATATTTACTGTCATCATGGCAAAGATAAAATAAATCAGAGTTTAGAAATGAGTTATTAAAACTATTATGTTTAGAAATGTGTTGAAAAAATCTTCTCTCAGTTAAAAAGAAATTGGAGAAAAAATAAACAGGAAGGCTAATAATTCTGACTTCAACTGTATGTTATCTATATTCACTGAGAAATGGACAAATATTCATTTTCAAAATGGATTTAATTACTTATGCTGCTTATGGTCTATATTTACATAAAACAACAGTTTGGAAAAAATAACGTTTATTATCATGGTTCGCTTGTTGAATTTTAAGTTACCTGCCAACTAATTCTCATTAGATTACAAGTATACTGTTAGGTTAGGGTTAGGGTTAGTGTAAGTTGACATGTAGTTGCAAAGTTTTATAGTTAAATGTCCGTTGAAGTAACAAATCAACAGATAATAAGCAGACAGTCTACTAATACTGAAATTCACCATCAAAATAAAGTGTGACCTTTTTTCAAAATATTTAATCATCACTAGTATTATCAATGTTGCACATCTTCTGAAACTAATGCTGTCAATGAAGTTAAAAGCATGATCACTTAAACCTTTCTCCCCTGTGTTTTACAGAGAATGTGACGTCAACAAGATTAACTACATGTACGCTCAGTATGTCAAAAACACTATGGAGACACTGAACATCACAGATACCACCAAAGATCAGCTATTTTCATGGACAGTAAGTGCTCAGGGGAATGCTGCAATGGAAAGTAAGCTGCCATAGGGTCATCCCACTCTGGGTCACCCTGATGTTTCTGAGATTTCACAGGCCTCTTATTCAGACATTCTCCTCCCCCATTTTGTGTATGAATTGTCAGTTTTCCCAAAGATGCTTTACTCTGAACTAATTTTAACTCTATGGCATTCATGATTTTTTCCTCTTTTCTTTTTTAAAGAGTGAAGATCCACAGTCCACGAACTGTCAAATCAAAAGTCTGCTGTGCACACCAATAAGGAATGGGAAGAAAGACAAAGTAATAGGTATGTGTGATGTCCATTATAAAATAACACAATAAAATACACATTAATGGTTCGTATTAATACAAAAGAGTAGAACTATTGTTTTTAGGGGACAGAACATCAAAATGACTTAAGCCAATTAATATCCTTTTAGCAAGAACTCAACCCCTATCTTTTATTTTACTCAGAATGCATCAAAATAGTTAATAGGTTGTTTTTAATCTTGTGGTTCTGGTGACGCACGAAATTCAGATGGAGGGCAGGAAGAAAAAAAAAATGAATGGGACACATAGAGCAAAGTCCATATTTTTGAGATTTATACCATATTTGAAAGTACAGTAAATATAAATAGATAATAGTCACAATGTTGGGTATGATCTTTATATTATGGAGAGGGACGATTTTTCTCCTAAACTAAAATATATTTGCCTGTCATCAAGGGGGTAGATACTGTATAAGCCAACCCAGGCTCATTCTGAAAACGTAGTCCCATGGACGTTTCTGGAGACTGCAAAATACATCCCGAGAGGTATGTATTTTTGCAGTTTTTGTTTTCGCGTAAACCCACTAGAGGCCGCTGTCGACCGACTGAATGATTGACTGGGCGACCGTCTGAATTGACCGACCCACCCTCCTCCTTCCATAAATCCAACCAATTTTACAGATTGACCCGCCCGCCCGCTTATTTCCCTTAACCCAACCGACGGTTTACAAAAGCCGATCAGAAAAAGAAAAGTCCTCATCTGCTTTTTACCACTTTTTTGAATTTTACCACATTCTCACCCTGTTGTTCACTTGTTCATTTTAGTTTTTGGATTCTGTTTTTGTCTTACGTGATTTCTCTTCCACCGACTCGAACACGGTCGTCGTCGTCATGGTCAACTCCTCTCTGCGTCTCAAGTCCGCCGACATACACAACAAGCTAACTGGACAAACTGGTTGCGGCAGGAAAGTCCTCCACACAGAGGGCAGCGGTCAACCGGTAGGCACCAAAATGAACGGTGTCATACCGCCCCGTAGCGTTCACTTAAAAAATGAAATGCAGCCATACGTACCTCCGTCTACTTAATTTGCGGTCTCCAGAAACATCCGAATCGTCCAGAAACATCCAGAACATTCAGAATGAGCCTGTGTTGGTATAAGCTATTACGTTACATGTCATAGTAATTATATTGTTGCTGTGGTTCAACACAACTGTAGTAATAAACATATTATTCAATAGGCTTCAGTTTTCTACGCTAGAATTTTACACCATCACAATGCACCACTGTTTACACTAACGTTACAGTATCTATTACAGGTTATCAGTTTACTATACTACTTTATTCTGTATCATTCATTAACAACAAAAAAAAAAAACATATTTATTACAAATTACTATAGTTTTTCCCCCATGCAGATATCTTCCAGACATCCCAAAATAGTAGATGAAAGCACAGAAAAGCGTGGATGTATAGTCTACATTATTTTTTATGTATTTTTAAAAGACTGAAAAGTGCTCCACAATACACAATAATAGCTGTCTAGTTTTTGTCGCAAAGATTGCAATTCTTTTTTGCTGTCAATAAACTTACCATCACCAAACATTCACCGCTGCTGTGCATCTCTATGTTTACATCGGTTGTTTATTTCACCGAAACGTCAGTAAAGGCTTGGATTATAGTAAAACAAGAAGGAGATTTCATTGCAGCGATTAAATGACAGGGTGCATTATTTATATTCTCCTGGATTTTGTATGTGTGGTGGTGTTTGTATATGATTTTATATGACACATTATCTTATTTATACACACAGCTAGGCCTGTATATAATATTTAATGTGCTGTCAAATTAATTATCGCACTCAAATAAAGTTTGTACACATGGATGTATTGAATGAATGTTTATTACAAAGCGCTTTTTCCTCAGTTTTTTAGCCAGTTTTTTTAACTTTCTCCCTTTTATACGCAAAACTTTTTGGAAGTCTATAAATTCTGTGCGGCATTTTTTATTTTGGCCGATTTAAACAATTATAAACAACACAAAACGTAAACATTTTGATGTTCTGATATCGATTCCTATGTTGAAGAATAACTTCCTTCCCTCCATCTCAAATTTTGCGCATCATCAATGATGTCATGTGAAAACAACCAATAGCCCCTTTCACACATACAGACCTTTCCGGAAAATTGGGGAGATACGTCATACGTCAATTTGCATATCACTGGCGTCATCACGTTCTACCGTTTCTGTTTAATAGCCTATTGTTAATAAAGGGGCATTTATAATTGCACTACACTTTATATAAGCATGTTTATTTAACTAAATGTATTGCTGTTTGAATACAGTATGTCATTATAGATGTGTAGTGAATGTGCAGTAATCTCTCATATGTAATAAACTCAAGTTCAGAAACTGTCACTAATATCTGTGATTGTGAACAAGAAAAGAATAAACGGTCCAATTAAATTGTTAAAATAAAGTAGAAGTACATCGTTTTGACTGTACAAAGGGAATACCTTCACACTGCCTGTGCTAAATCATTTGTCGTCGGTACGCAGAGGGGAGATCTACTCTCGGGCTGCAGGTGGGAGAGGCTGCTGTAGAGGACTGACTGGGCCGCCTGTCAGTGCTGTGAGGCGGGGGAGGGGCCGGCAGCATCACACGCAGCTCGTTGAGAAGAGTAGGGACGGTACAGTATGGACAAATGACAGTCTAAAAAAAATCTCCAATAACACAAAAAAAAGTCGCTAGATTTGTCGCTAAGGGGGTCTGAAAAGTCGCTAAATCTAGTGACAAAGTCGCTAAGTTGGCAACATTGGCGGCAAGCAATCAGAATTAAGTAGTCCACCACTTGAGAGGTGTTCAGAGAACACAGACGTGTGAACTTTGGTTCCGACCACAGTTGTTCCCAAGAGTTTGATTATTGCGTTCGCCGGTGGATTTTTAATTATTGAAAATCACGACGACGCGGGGCCCCCTAATCACGCAGGGCCCCCCCGCGGTGCGTGCCCTGCGGGCCCGTCCGCTACGCCACTGCTTCAAGCTTTGTATGCGCCTATGAGCGCCTGCACACGCACATATTATGAACATCTCGACATGCGAAAGTGATCCTGCGAAAGTTGTTCACAATATTGATCATCCACAGAGTTTGTAATTTAGTCAAATGTTTACAAATACAAGCGCAGCCGTTTAAAGCTCATTTGTGGTGAATGATGTCAGAATTTACCGGTATTTTGGAATGGATGTGTGAATGCTCTTTTCCGGAAAATTTCCGTAACGTCCTCGCCTGTGTGAACAGCGCTTTTTTCAATATACCGGTAAAGTCGTTCCGGAAATTTTCCAGAAATTTACCGGTATCACTGTGTGAAAGGGGCTTATATATAATGCATAATTTATTTGACAATATTCTTATCAGTCTGCATTTGTCAGGTGTTTTTTTTTTTGTTGTTTTGCTGCTGATATTGATTTCTCAGCAGTTATCTCCATCATGGTGCTGGTCAAATATAAGTTTAATCCACAATGCGCATAGACATTGCTTACTACACTCAGAGGGATGCGCAGCAGCACACAAACATCTTTAACCCTATAGTGGCCCAGGAAAAAAAAAACACAGGTTTCATTTACAGACCAATGACATAGGGAAATGTGAATTTTTTTATGATAAACTGTATAAAACTTTGTATTTTTTTAAAAGTTACTTCTTAATTTCGCACTTATGCAGTGTTTGTGTGGATATTTTTAATCCATTTATTACTGCTTTCCTGTAATAAATAAGTAATAAAATACTTATTAATGGTTCATAATAAAACAAAGAGTAAAACTATTTTCCATATTTTTTGGAGGTTAATAAATAACCTTCTAACAAACTCAAAACCCACCTTGTATTTTATACAAAATTCATCAATATAGTAAATTATAGTTCAATAAATTAATTGTAAATTAAGTTACATATAAAATATAATTTGACAGTCAGTTTTGCTGCTGATATGGATTAACCAGCAGTGATCTTCATCATGGTGCTGGTTAAATACAAGTGCCAGATCAATAAAAGGAGATCAAGCTTACTGAACCACTTGTGATGAAAATAAAGCCAAGATTCTTTTTAGTTGATTATCTCCTTTTATCTGCCTCTATGCATAATTGAGGTTAATTAAATCGTGACTGATAAACCATGTAATTATCTCAACCTTAAAGGATCAATGGAGAATGTAATTTATTCACTCATGCTTGTTCCAAACCCTTATAGATTTCATTCTTTTCTATAATACAAACTGAGTTTTAGGAAAATGCCCTTGTGATTTTGGTCCCTGTGTAATTAAAGTAAATCACTGGCATCAGGTTAAAACATAGGTCTCAAACTACATTCCTGGAGGGCTGCAGCTCTGCACAGTTTTTCTCCAATCCTAATCAAACACAGCTGATTCAACTAATCAAGGTGTTTAAGACTACTAGAGACTATTAAGCAGGTGTGAGTTGGAGGTTGTTGGAGATAAACTAGCTGCAACCTTTCAGCAATTGAATTTGAGACCCTTGGGCCATAAGAAGCATACCACAAACATCTAAGAGTTTATAATATTAAGGATGAGAATATAGTGACCAAAATATGATTTGATTGTATATTTTCCTTCGAAATTTGAACACGATGAACGGTTTAACATGGATAAATTGTTATTGTTGTTTATTTATTTTTTATTTTTTTATAAACCACCACATAAAAGACTCCACTATTAGACACACTAGAGCTATTTTTAAAAGTTGCTTTGTTCCTTTGTGTTTTGGTCTCTGAATGTAGGCGTCTGCCAGTTAGTCAATAAGATGGATGAAGCTTCAGGGGAGGTGAAAGCCTTTAATAGGAATGATGAGCAGTTTCTAGAGGCCTTTGCAGTCTTCTGTGGCCTGGGCATCCAGAACACACAGATGTATGAAGCAGTGGAAAGAGCAATGGCCAAGCAAGAGGTCACACTTGAGGTTAGTGTGCTAATCTATACCTTAATGAAACAAAAATAAAAAAAAAATTTATATATAAAAAACATTATAAAATGAAAACGGATTGGACTGAAATTATGAAATTATTATTATAATTTTCAGACTCTTGTTTTAACTACAGGGATATGTTTGTGATTAGGAAACCATGTATTGGAAACTGTCAAGGATTCAAACACATGTAGGCTCTTTTTACACCTGATATTAAGATGTGCTTTTGTTGATCTGATCACAAGTGGATTACACTAAGTACAGGGGCTGTGTTTTTGTTAGCCTAGGTATTATTTTCACATCCTGCACCACATTGTTTAAATTGTAAATTCATTTGTGTGCCCATGGACCTGCTAGTCTGAAAAGGAAAATTTTATGACACATTTGTGACTTGTTGCTATTATGAAACAACTGAAATAGACTGCTAAATGCTTGTCTAAAGTCAAAGCCGGTTGGGATTTGTATCTGTAGGTGAGTCTACATTGTGCATACACATTGCTTAACACACACATTAGGGATGCGCAACAGCACCCAAACAACTTTAAATTAGTATTTCTGTTGGACAGGTAATTTTCTGTTTTAAAACTATTTTAGTCACACAAAGCTGATGTAGATTGTGTTGTTTTATGAATAGGATATATGCACAAAAGTCCAGTCATTGAAATCATCCAGTGAAAGATTGATGTGACTATTTTAAGTTTCATAAGGGACCTTATACAGCATAAGTAACAACAACGCATCAGTAAATAGCGCTATTCTGTCTAGCCTGCTTTATTAAGGTGAAGCTGGTTTTATATTCACATCACATTAGTTCATTTTTGAACACTGACAGCCTGTGACACGCTCCCTATATTGTTCACCATGCTACTCTGAATATTGGGTCTGAAATAGCATGTAGGTATGGCTTAGTAATTAGTGTAATTCCTGTATGCCGCCAGCTAACCACTAAGCATACAGTAGTGGCTTTAGGATAAAGCACATGAGAGTGAGAGCAGCGATCCTTGCATGTATGAAATATTGCACATTATGACAAGTTTTGCTTGTTACACAACTGAAAAAATGGTAGATATAATACAGTTTTTCGTACAGAATTGTAGTCTTATAAAGTACTGTAAAGTTTTCTAACTGGAAAATGACATGAACTAGTGGGTCTTTGTCATCTTTAATGTGCATGCATGTGTTTCAGGAGGAGTGGCTTTGGACCGCAGAGGAGGGATTGTGTTCGAAAGATATTGTGCTAACCGCATTCTGCACCTTTAAGCCTTAAAATTTTTGGATGATGTCTCATGTTTTGGATGATTGTTCTTTTCACATGATCAGTTCCTCTTCTATCTTTGCATAATGATTTCATTCGAAGACGCTTCATTTAATTACCTTCGAATACAAACAGAAGCATATATGCATGTTAAAACTGTAAAAGCAGAATAGTGTTTAGGTGTAATAGGTGTTGATCTGAAACAAAAAAATCTATAATTTCATTAATCAAGTAACCATATAGCTTGTTTATTTGATCTAGTTCTTTAAATTAAAGCACATTTATTGTGCTGTTTAAAATTTGCTTTGGCTTTCACAGTATTAGATTGAAAGACCAGAGAACACTCGCCCACAGACCGTCGCTCATCAGTAAAGGGGTTGATAGCAGTCGAAAGACAAAAAGTGGACAAAAGAGACATACTTAAATGCCAGCTATGAACAGTAATGTGATCCCTTTGTCCACTTGTGAATGGACACATCATAATACTAGGTGTGAATAGGGCAGTAGATGTTTTGTTTGCTGTTGTTGATGTAAACAATAAAGCAGCAGCTCATCTGCGTCTAAAGAGACACACAAGAGCGTTTTTGTTTCCACTCAGATGTGGACTTTTACAGCATGGAATAATAAAGGGTGCGTGAGGCATTTTGAACTGAAACTCAAGAGGGGCTTACCGATGCGGCACGACGCAGTGTGGCTACTCGCAGTAACATAACAGTAACATCTACTACAGTAAATAATTGAACAACTATTTGAACAGTACAACAGTTTGCAAATTATAAATTAACATTTATTTTATTTTATTTTTTATTCTCAAACTTTGCAGCTTTTGTCACTGCAATGTATCTTTGTAGGCTTCTGGAAGAACCTTTCCTGAGCCTCTTGGTTTGGAAAGTCAAAAATGTCTGGTCCATTTATTGAGACATTTATTAAACATGAAAGCATGAAAAATGTAGATGTGAACATGTCATGGCCAGAAGCAGCTTTACAAAAAATAATTTGTCCATTCATTTTACTGAGCTAAGGGCCTTATCATGGGTCACCAAAGCAGAAGGAACTGCCACAGGACAATTACAAACAATGCAATTTGGAAACACTGCAAATGATGAAAGATGAAAATTTGTTAAAATGCACATCTATAAATTGAATACTTGTTTTCTAAAAGGAAATAGGCCCATAAACGAATATTTATAGCAAAAAGGGCATTACAAGAAATTACATTATTAAATATTTTTGTAAAAAAAAAAATTATCTAAATATTCCAGCCAGCTTTTAGTGGACTTGCAATATTGTCGAAACAGAACTTTCAGTTCTTCTATATAAAAAGGCCACATCCAATATTTTGCTCGTCTCCAACTATTGACAGAATGCGGGATGTATTTGAGGAACGGGCAGGAGACGTGCAATTTCCAGGAGTTTATTATTTGTTTACGGGCATCTAGGAGTGTCTGTGCATTTGCAGGAGACTCCCGTAACTTCCAGGAGGCTTGGGATGTCTGCATCTGCAAATATTTTAGCTGCAGTGACGCAAGCACAGAAAAGAAATGACATGCTATTGTGTAAATAACATCTTACATACGACTATTTAGCTTGTTTATTAAAAAAAGTTGAGATCTGGCGCTATATAGATTATAGAATTAACGTGACTTGAAGAGGGCGGGGCACCCCCCTGATATATTGGTAGGGGAAACACTGTTTTACAAACGGCCGCAAACATTTTGCACGCTGTTAAGTCAACTTTAAGTGGAAAAAGTGCATTATGTTAGTCGCGTTTTTTATTCTACAATCAAATGAAAGCAGAGGCAGAGTTTCCGTTGAGGTGACAACAATGTTTGTGTTGTCAAGACGACTACGGAGACTTTTAAAGATGGAGGAGAGATATGTGGTTGCTGTTTTGAGTCATCCGTTGCACAAATCTTAAACATCACAAAATTATGAAATATTAAAATTATACCTACATCAAAAGCAATGTTCGCGCACAGTTCGCGTTTCCGGAACATAAAAGCTTGTTTTGTTTGATCAGCCCCTAAGGGTCCAATGATCACACCGAACGCACTTTTCCATTCTGAGAAAGCGAGGCGCACTGCAATGCCTTTATTTGTTGTCAAGAAAAAAAAAGCTTTTTATGTCACTAGGCAATGACTAAATAAGCTGCCTATTGTGCGCGAACGTTGCTGTTAATATTAGTATAATATTAATATTTAATTATACTGTGAAATTCAAGATTTGTAAAGTCATACAGCTACAAATAACAGCGAACCCAAATCTCTCCTCCATCTTTAAAAGTCTCTGTAGATGTCTTGACAATACAAAAACTGCTGTCACCTCAACGTAAACCCTGCCTCTGCTCTGATGTACGTGCTTTTTCCACACAGTGTTTCCTTTTTTTCAACTGCAGGCACACATCTTTAACGACAAAAACACAAGCGCAGTAGGCAGTTAAAATGCAAGGCGCACAGGGCGATTAATCAGTGCGTGAAACACTTGTGGTCCTTAGTAAATCGATGAAAAAGGCTCTTCTCAACACAAAAAGCCTGTTTGGTGTGATTAAAGGCCCTAAACAGTGTGTATAATGCAGAATTGTCGAATGACATCACTTCTAACAGGGGTGTCCAAATTTTTTCTTATGAAGGGCCAAGAAAACAAACTTTATGATGGGCCGAAGGTAAATATACCGAACAATTAAATTAAAGCTGGCATAGTAATTTCCTAATTTACTAATATTGAAAAATATATAGAAAGTAATTCAATGATATTAATAACTATTTCCAAGTGACTGGTTGCAGCTGGAAGGGCATCTGCTGTGTAAAACATGTGCTGGATAAGTTGGCGGTTCATTGTGCTGTGGAGACACATACTGTCTATCTTTGAGTGATAGTAGTTACATTTTAAAAAATCTGATTCATGCACAACAATTAATTAAAACATTTAATTTCAGTTGACTTTTTTGTTGCTCAACAATTAAATAAACAAAAGGTTATGTTAAATTAGAAATGACAATCTCTGGCATTTGCTGCAACCTTCATTCTAATTCTTCTCAGATGGGATGGCAGGCCAAATGATAGGTTACCCTACTTTGAGCATGTCTGTTTTATAATAATAAAAATAATTCCTTGCATTTATATAGCACTTTTCTGGGAACTCAAAGTGATTTAGTGATGTTCAAGGGATCTCCTCATCCACCACCAGTCTGCACCCTCCAGCTAGATGACGTGACAGCCTATTGATGGAGAGGAGACAAAGGGATGAAGCCCATTATAATATGGGATATATCAATTATGATATCCTTGGATTTGTAACAACCAAAGGGAGCCAGGATCTCTGTTCAACATCTCATCCAAAGATTGTGTGTAGAGTGTGTAGAGTCTGAAGTGTATAGAGTCCTCATCAAAATATTGTGATGGGATCCACATGGACCGCAGGGTGAGCATCCCCTGCTTGCCTCACTAACATCTTTTCCAGCAGCAACCTAGTTTTCCCATGTGGTCTTCTATTCAGCTACTTACCAGGAGCAGCCCTGCTTAGCTTTAGGGACGGCCATGTGAGAGCTACAAAGAGCTAGCTGCAGTGATGCTCATCCAACAGCCAAGACTTGGCCAAAAATTGGCTCACGCAGCAAGATAATGATCCCAAGCAAACTAGCAAATCTACAAAAGAACTGAAGCAGCAAAAGAAAAACATCAAGGTGTCGCATGAACAGCTCAGTCCTCATTTCGACCGAACAGCAAATGTTTTGAACCTGCAACAAACTCAGAAACTTTTCCAAAATGATCTGAAAGTCTAAGAAGGACATACAGAAAAGTATCACTTTAAGTCATTACTGCTAAATCTACAAAATTGATCTACAAGCATTTAAATCATAGGATGTTCCAGCAATGTCAGCCATTCTGTCTTGGCTTTATTTATGTTAAATAAATAATTATAATTACACAGTATGAGATGTCACATGAGATGTCAGGTTTCATCATCCAAATTTTAAGACGTGCCATGTACCATATAGTTTTTTCATTATGTCCTGAGATGAAAAACCATGAAATTCTATAGGGTGTTCTAACTATTTTACATGACTGTATATACAAGTATTTTTATCAGTGTATTTATCACACTCTATACCTGGGCAAGACAAGAGGGTAAAAAATTCAGGTTGTCCCAAATGAAAAACATTTACATACATTTTATATTTAGTGATTTAGCAAATGCTTTTATCCAAAGCAACATACAAATGAGGATGACAGAAGCTCTTTAAACTGAAAATGGGGGATGGTCAACATCGATCCTAGAGGGCCATTGCCCTGCAGAGTTTGGCTCTGACTCTATTTAAACACATCCGCACAAGCTTATCAATGTCTTCAAGGTGACTGGGTATGTTTGATTAGGGTTGGAGCTAACCTTTGCATGACTGAAGTTGCCCATCCCTCTCAATATTGATCAAAGGATGCTATTTTGAACATACTTTGCTGAACCATTAACATTGTGTGCCTTTTTGTGCATATTATGCAGGTCCTCTCTTATCATGCCTCCGCTGCGGAGGAAGAGACGCGGGCGCTCCAGGTAACGGCGGTAAATTACATTTTGTCATTATACCAAATAAAAATATGACATCAGGATTGTGTGTCTGCCATTTAAACTACACTGTGGATGTTGGCCAGTGTTTTCCTGTTATATCGATTCAGGAAACAGATTTCTAATCTGAAATCTGCTTGTTTGAAGGAGCACATACAATGCTACGATTTTGTATTTTTTATTTATTTATTTTTCATTATTTTACTTTTTACTTATTTATATTTTATTATTTTCTCATAGAAATCATTGATGCTTGTGTGGTTGTGGCTCATACTGTGTGAGAGCATATTATGGGCTAACCAGGATCACCTATCAATTTTAACATGTTGTTAAAAAGTTTCAAGATCTGTTGGCTTGAGTTGTGAAGTATGTGCAGTAAAAATAGCCAATCTGTTTATCTATGTGAAGTCAGCTCAGGCACATTCTGAAAACGTGGCCCTATAAACATTTCTAGGGATTTTGAATTATGTAGCCAGAATTATTTATGGCTGCATGTTGTCTTTAAAACGAACGCTACAGGGCGATATGATGCCGCTTACCTCCGTATGGACAACATGTTTCCAGTTTGTCCAGTTAGCTCACTGTGTACGTCAGTGGACTTGAGACGCAGAGCAGAATTGACCGCAATGAGCCTGGGCTATGTGAAGTTGACCAATGAGGAGGATAAACTCATTGAACAGCGAACTCTGTATGATGCCTCATTCATGACAGGGTCTTCAGATATACTATACCACATACATCACACACATTGTGGTGACCAGTCATCCTGGTTTCTGAACACTGAAAGCAATGTTTATAGAACATGAAATTTCATGTGATTGCTTCAGGGTTTGCCAGGTCATGAAATCTCGTTAAATAAAAATGCAGAGTATATCTTCCTCCTCAATATACCCATTTTCATAGGAACTTACTTGTGATCTGTGCATGGACATAAGATCGTCCAATTATAAGAATTGGCACCATGTATGCTCACCTTAAGTCAAAGCTATTGTAAAGTAGCTGAGTGTTCGTATACTCATTGGACATTGGTCAGTTATGCAAATATCTCATTTTAACTCAGTCCAGTTTGGCATGTACAGTAGATGTCAAGACAATCAGGACAATCTACTGAGGTTTGCATTGAGAATTAGAATGGTGAAGAAAGAGGTTGTTGACTTGTCAGACAGGCTAGTCTGAGTATTTCTAAAACTCCAGATGTACTAGGGTTTTCGCACACAACTATCTGGTTTACAGAAAATTGTCCGTAAAAAGAAAAGACATCTAGTGAGCAGAGGTTTTGTGGGAGAGAATGCCCTTAGTGGTATGAGTTCATAGAGAACCTCGACAATACTGAACAGTACAAAACTGAAAAAGTTGATTGATCTGATGTGTCTTGATACTGCTTGAATTTGGCATAAATGAGATGAAAACATTGGTCTGTACTGATGGTGGCTATTATGGAAATAATCCACTTTTCTGTTGTGTAAAACACTGCAAACCACTATGGTTAACAGTTTACAACAGGGGTGCTCAACCATGTTCCTGTTGATCTACCTACCTGCAGAGTTCAGCTGTAACCTTGATCAAACACACCTGCATTTAAATGAAGTGCTACTTTAGATACTACTCAGTTGGTTTAGTTGTGCTTGTTTAGGGTTGGAGCGGAACTCTGCAGAAGGGTAGATCTCCTGGATCAGGGTTGAGTACATCTGGTTTTTACTGGCATCTGAGATCTAACTGGCAACTCACCGCATGATAGTCGGTTGCTCTAACAAGGTTGCTAAAGACCATGGCCATGGTCTTTCACTAGAGCACCTTTTCAGGATCAGAGAAGTGAGGTTTATCTGCAGAGCACTTCACTAGCTGGCCTTTGTTACACTTACCTCCCTAAACCTTACTCCCATCCGGGTCACGACACCAACGTAACCCCGTCGGTTCTAAACCACCAAACCCGCTCCAAGTTGGGATGGAACCAGTAACTCTCCGCATGGGAGTTGATTGCTCTGACAAGGAGGCTAACAGAGGAGTGATGTTTACCAGCACAGCTCTTCACTAGCTGACCTCTTTTACACTAATACAAATATCCATTAGTTTAAAAAAATATATTTAGTTTGATTCACTTTTAGAATGTGCTATTTTGTGAATATTACCATGTCGGAAGGTGAAGAGTGCTGAGGAGTATCTAACAGAAAGTATCAGTGCTGCTAAATTGACTACATTATTAGGTATCTTAAGTTATATTATAGTGAAAGAAAGCTTAGAATTATGATTTCACTTTTATTTATATAATAATCAATAATATATTGATTTAAAACTTAGCATTGAATTTATTTTTTCATTTATAGACTACACACAATTTTTAATATTATAATTTATTTTAAGCTTGTTGTAGCTTGGGAAAAAAGCTGCAGTTTAATAATTTTCCCAGTACTAATTCTGTCATTAGATGCATTTTAGTAAAACATTGGGCTTTAGAAGTCAGTTGCGTTGCACCCTGGCACATTTGCTATTGACATGGTGGACTTTGTAAGAGTAAAAACGGAACACTTCACTAGTAGAAAACAGGTAAACAGAGCATCTGCAGTATGAGGATATAGAACAAGCCTTCTCAATTCGACCTCTTTACTTTCTCTTTACTTTACTTTTACTCTTTACTCATTTACCTTCGTGGATAAGGAAATGGTGGGAACTCACTTCACTGAAGACATCCATTAGCCTACATATTTAATTTAGTTTGTTAAGCGCAAAGATTGTTTTCAAAACTATTTCTAAATTCAGTTTTAATTTACAGCAAAGGAATAAATGAACAACAATAATGAAGAGTAATCAAAAAAACAGTTATATCCAGATACACGTCCTGTTCTTATGTCTCATGGTGATGCATTCGTCTCCAAAACTCAACAGATGGACAAAGCTAAGCTTGTTTTTATGAAAACAAATCTAAATATGCATATAATAAATAATACTAATAGTAATAATAACATTATACAAATGCAAATTCTCATGAATAGACCAACAATGCGCCTTAACACACCTCCTTAGCCCACCCATGAGTCCACAAAGTAGTGGATTTGCTATTTAAACAACGTGGCGCAAAATGTGAAAAAAATTAAAGTTGCGCTGCTAACACATCTTGTGCATTATTGCGCCGGGTGTATGATAGCACCCCTTACTTTGAAAATTCCTGTATTATATCATATAACTCATATTAATGCTGGGAGCTCATACGGTATTATGCTTTTTTTACTTATTACCTTTCATGTTGTGTGTTATGTAGCTATTTATACATTTACATTCAATCATTTGGCAGCATTTAATCAGCTGGCAGAAACTTTTATGCAATACAACTTACAAGCAAAGGTATTACAATTAATTTTAGCAACAAAAACACAACATGTAAATACTTAGTATACTTGCAAATGCTTATGATATAGTCTGATTTATTTAAAAAAATAGGTGACCTCCAAAATCTTTAAACCTTTAAAATAGCATAAGCGCACTTTTAGTTTTTTTTCTCCGGGTTTTTTATTCTACACAGTGTTTGTAAAACAAACCAGGAATTTCGTAGCTTCAGTCACGCTCTGGAAATTTCCCCGAGAGCACAGGTTGCTTGGATACAGCACTCCGATATGGAAAACCTGCACTGATTAGGCCTGCGGGAGTAATCAGGCAATTAAGACACTGGCAGAGGCAGGATTTCAGCTTCAGTTGAGAGTCATTTGCTTGTTAATTACATCAATTACTCTTAAAGTGAAGGTCAGCATGCACATTTACTATTTGTTTTATTCATAAGGCATGTAAAACACACATAGAAATGCTTAATTTGCAGTATGATAGAGTAGTAAACACTAATATCGGTTTGGTTAGTTTATTAATAACTAAATTGTACTTTAAGGTGCCATAAAATGAAAAAGTTATTCTCATATAAATAACTTGGACAAATCAAAACAAAATCTTTACTTTGACGATCTACATGGGATTATTAATATCCAGACTCCAGAGCATTTGATAGGCCACAATGTTTCTTACAATGATATTTTCCACTCATTTTTAAGTTTGTCTAAGCTTCTACTACTTACTATGTATGTGGGACACTTATTTTAAAAGAATAATTAAGCAGTTTTGTGAAGTAGGCAGCTTGCATGATCTTGTCTGTTCCCAACATGTTAGAATGCAAAATGTGGGATATGCAGAAAATTCAGAAACTCAATGCCACATAAGGTCTGTTAAAATGTATCTTTTGTTAATTTATTTTTTATAACTTTTATTTTTATTTAGTTTACTTTTAACAATACAGAACAATAATTTAACAGGACAAAAAGACAAAGAAAAAAAGCCAAACTCATAAGATTGTTACATCTCTTTCAATTACCAAATGGGGATGTCTTTATATAACCTATATATCCAATTTATCCAACACTTCCTAAAAATATCCATTTTCATCCTCAATATAAATGTCAGTTTTTCCATTACATGAATTTCTTCAAGGGCAACATGATTGCGCAGTAGGTTGGCTGTCGCCTCACAGCAAGAAAGTCAGCTGGGCCAGTTGGCATTTCTCTGTGGAGTTTGCGTGTTCTCCCCATGTTGGTGTGGGTTTCCTCCAGTTGCTATGGTTTCCCCCACAGGTCCAAAGACGTGATATAAGCTAAATTTTCTGTAGTGTATGAGTGTGCATGGATGTTTCCCAGTGATGGGTTGTAGCTGGAAGGGCATCCGCTGGATATGTTTGCAGTTCATTCCACTATGGTGACCCCTGATTAAAAAAAGGGAAGGAATGAATAAATGAATGAAAGAAACTGAAACGAAACGAAACCACTGCTTACGTTTCAACGTTGAGTCTTTAAGCCAGTTCCTTGTTATAGTCTTTTTGCATACCACAAGAAGAATCTTAAACACATATTGGTCACCTCTGGGGACAGTGTCCTTAATATCTCCCTTAAACAAAAATATTGCAGTCATAGGAACTCTGTATCCAAACACCTTAGAAATAACATTCTGCACATCATTTCAAAAAGGTTGAATTTTTCCTACAGCTTCAGAAGATATGGGTATGACCTGCTTCTGCCTGAGGTCTGTTTGCTTTTAATCTTGGGTGTTATAAAGAAGCATATAAGGCATTTTCTGGAAAATTCTGTCCAAACTTGTGAACTAGTGGTAGTTGGGTGTATTTCCCACATATCATACCAGCCGTCTTCTGAAATTTTAGACTTTAATTCTTTATCCCATTTTACTTTTACATATAGTGTGGACTGGGACCCATGACTAGGGCCAGACAGAGTCAGCAGACATTTTTTGCTATTTCTGCAGATAATTTTATAAAAATAATCTGCATTTATTTAAAAGTATCATAACTAAAACCTTAATATATATATAATATAAGGTTTTTAACTTATTTAATAATTACAATGCAAATCCAATTAGATCCACTTATTTGGTAAAAAATCAAGTCAATCATATTATATATCTACTAAAAGGCAAAAAATATTAGAAACTGTTAGAAACTGTATTGTAAAAAAATCATATAAACATTTTCATATTAGTCTATATTGTTACTGAAATAAAAAAAAACTGAATAAATGTAAAATTTGACACATTTACACAAGTAAATACATAGACTCAATGATGGACTAAAAATCTGGGTAAATCGGCAGATTTCTGCATGCACAGATTCCGTGTGTGCCTTTGCATGACCGATCAACACTACACGAACAGAGGGGATTACTTTTAGTATTGTGTAATTTTAGGCATTCATCATCATTTTAGTGAGTGAAGAGATATTTTTTATTCTGATTTTCCTTTTTTTTTTATTAAAATAATCTCTTAGCTGTAGATATTTTTAAAAAATCTTGATTGCCAAGTCCAAACTTATCCTTTCATTTTTATAACTTTCCATTTCTTCGTTTTAAATTACACAGCACAGTGATGTTATTCCCTTCTCCCTCCAACATTGAAATGTTGAGTCTTCCTTCCCTGGCTTAAATTCCCTATCCCAAGTAATCCACCTGAGTATTCCAGTTTCTTTCCCCAATTTAAGATGTTTGACCGTTTGAGTCCTTTTGTTAATATAAAGTGTATATTGTAAAATTTGATGCAAATGTTTATGATGAGGCAACAGGCACACATAAACAGCTTGTAGTAAGTGTTTAATACAGGTTTATGCATCAAGTCATATCACACAGCTCTTTTTCAGAAGTGAAAGGATGAGTAAAATTCATCTTTTTAGGTTGAGATTGGTTTTTAATTCCTCTCTCTTTTTTCAGATACGTCAAACCCACAAAATACAACTGTAAATACATCCTGTTTGCAACTTTTGTTGGGTATAATTATAGTTTAGCCTGTATTTTATCCATACACAACTGAGGAACTAACTAGGTTACTCTGGTGATGTAAAGTCAACCTCTCTAGCAATTCAGTTGAAAAGATTGTCATTTAACAAGGCATTGATTTGATAAAATATTTTTCTATCCGCTGAAATATCATAATTTGGCTCATTAATATGTACAACCCTTCCAAATATGGTCAAAACCAACCATATCATATTTGGGCCAATTCCTAGGGTTGGAAATATACCTTTAAAACCATTTCTGGAAAATCTTACCTAAGCCACAAAACTTTGGTGTAGATTTAAGAGATCGGTTTAATGTATGGCACCTTTAATTTATTTACTTAGCTAGCTATTAAAACTATAGCATGTCTGCAGGTAATTCTGGTTTCTGTTTGTCTACTTAAGCACATAGAAACAACAGGAGATAGGACATTATTTATGGGCTCTGCATTAAATGATGGACCATTTTCAGCAAGAGCAGACAAATCAAGCGCAGCACAGCTAAATGCTCATCCTGTGCACTGCAAACTATGCTGATGGCAGCTCATTGATTATTTATGCCTGACAGACAGCGATCTCCTTCCAGGCAGTTTGTTTGTCTGTTGAGTGAGTGAAGTGAATTAGTGAGGCTGTTCAGATGTGTGTGTGTGTGTGTGTTTGCTGTGTTTGTGAGTGACTTAAATGTATTTGACTTTGTGTTCAAGTGTAATATGTAAATATTGGCCTGTCCTACTTCCACAGGCAGCTACGATCCCCTCCGCTCAGTCTCTCAGACTGATGGACTACAGTTTCAGTGATTTTGACCTGACAGATGCTGAGACGACCCAGGCAACCATCCGCATGTTTGTGGACCTCAAGCTTGTGCAGAATTTTCAGATAAAGTACAAGGTACCTGTTATATTCTGTTATTGATACTGAGATCATGTCATTTATAGGGAGAAAAATGTCTTTTGATCTGGGTCAAATACAAATCACACACAAGCACCCATAGCTTCTTAGCAACTGTACTATCTAGAGATGCACCGATCCCAATACTTGTATCGGATATCGGTTCAATACCGCATATTTGTGCTGGATCGGGTATCAACCAGCTGGTATCGATCCAAATCTGATTTTGCGCATGCGCTATATTCTGTGTAATTTATTAGCCAACAAAAACCTTGAAGGTATTATAAGGCACTAAAAAGTTGCCATGTAGGCACACTATATCCTGAATGTTCTGAAGCCATTTTATAGTTTAATGTTAAGTACAGTTGAATATTTACATGCTTAAATTCATGTCGACTTCAGCGCTTCCCTCGCTGCGCCTGTCAATCATTCTCCATTCATTCATAAACAAACTGCGTGTCACATTCGTTTATGACAACACAAAAAAACTTTCAAAGCCTATTTGTAGCAGTTAGTTTAAAAAAAAAGAATTTAATTTAATGCTCCACTGTAATTGTGGTATCACAAACCTGTCATATATTTGCTAAATGTTTAATATAAGTCATTATTTTAAAGGTTATGTGCTGAAGATCTGATTTTTTTTCTCTGTGCTAATGTGCTTTCAATTTTTTCCATCTAAATCACAGCAAGTTTAGGCGAGGGAATGTTATTAAGTAAAACTGCCCTCAGTGCCCTCAAACCTGCAGGAATAAATCAGGCTTTACTAAAACGCTGGTTATTTTACCATCGATTAGGGTCAATAGTAGTAGCCGATTCTTTTACAGATTTCAAAGAAAAATCCTAATATACAAAAGAAGCATTAGCTGGACCACAGCTGATCAGTTTCAATGTCAATCATTCTCCATTCATTCATAAACAAACTGCGTGTCACATTCGTTTATGACAACACAAAAAAACTTTCAAAGCCTATTTGTAGCAGTTAGTTTAAATAATCAGTGGACAAATGGATTTAGTTTTGCATTAAATGGCTCCATTTTGAACTGCCACAAGGAGTTCACTGCTGTTTCCAAACCATGTTGCGCTTTGTGTGTTAGATCAGCAAATCGCATTCGCTATAAAGGAGTAGAAATGGTTATTACCTGCTCTTCACACACAAAGTAGGCCTACCTGAAACTTTAAATTAGGAAAGGCTCAATAATACAGTGGACAGATCCTCAACGCACTGATTTTTTCCCATTGTGCTGCTCTGTTTTGGACCTGTTCGCAGATACTGAAGGGCTGTGTCTTAGTGATGCATCAAGCTCTTCATTCATGCACTGGCTGCACAGACGCGACATGCGCCACTCCGTAAAATTATTCTCACAATGATTTTCTGTTCTCTTATCCTCCCAACTGAGTTTATTCTTCCGAGGAGAATACTTTCAGTACTGTGAATAGATTGTAAAGCCTGGCTGACTGTGGTCGTTTATTAAATTAAGTAAAACTGACGGGCGAAATGTGGATTGTCATTAACAGAAATTATTTAGCCTAATATAGGCTACTCTGGAACTAAGTATTTCACTGTAATATTATTTATAATAATATTTGATTTAACAGACCAGTTTGTGTTTGTGTGCCGGAGCATATAAGCGGACCTTGTTTTAAACTTCATCTCAAATTTTGTTTACTTTGTAGATAACTGACCAACAAAAAATGTAAAAAAAATTAAGATTAAGATACAAAATATACCAAAAGAAATTTGCTCCAAAAAGATATTTTTACAGACAAAAAAATAATTTCAGTCAAAAATAAATGAACAATGAACACAACTGTGTGGGTGGATGATTTGCTTCACTCCATGAAAAGTAAGGATTTAATTTAATGCTCCACTGTAATTGTGGTATCACAAACCTGTCATATATTTGCTAAATGTTTAATATAAGTCATTATTTTAAAGGTTATGTGCTGAAGATCTGATTTTTTTTCTCTGTGCTAATGTGCTTTCAATTTTTTCCATCTAAATCACAGCAAGTTTAGGCGAGGGAATGTTATGAAGTAAAACTGCCCTCAGTGCCCTCAAACCTGCAGGAATAAATCAGGCTTTACTAAAACGCTGGTTATTTTACCATCGATTAGGGTCAATAGTAGTAGCCGATTCTTTTACAGATTTCAAAGAAAAATCCTAATATACAAAAGAAGCATTAGCTGGACCACAGCTGATCAGTTTCAACAACTGATCAAATAATGTAGCCTAATTTACAGCAAGCATCATGTTTTTTGTTAGATTGTGCCATCTGTCATGTACAGTTGAAGTCAGAATTATTAGCCCCCTAAGTTGTTAGTCTCTCAGTTTATTTGTTTCCCTGTTTTCTGTTTAACAAAAAGAATATTTTTTAGCACAATTATAAACAAAATAGTTTTAATACCTCAGTTCTAATAATTAATTTATGTTATATTTGCTGTGATGACAGTAAACAATATTTTACTAGATATTTTTCAAGACACTTTTATACAGCTTAAAGTGATATTTAAAGGCTTAAATATGTCAAGTAGGTTAATTAGGCAGGTTAAGGTAATTAGGCAAGTATAATGATGGTTTGTTCTGTAGACTATCAAAAACAAAAATAGCCTAAAGGGGCTAAAAATTTTGTCCCTAAAATGGTGTTTAAAAAATTAAAAACTGCATTTATTCTAGCCAAAATACAACAAATAAGACTTTCTCCAGAAGAAAAAAATATTATCAAACATGCTGTGAAAATTTCTGTGCTCTGTTAAACATCATTTGGGAAATTTTTTAAAAAAGAGAAAAAAAATTGGGGGGGTAGGTGGTTGGGGCGGTGGGGTGCAAATAATTCAGACTTCAACTGTATAGTAGGCCTATAGGTCTGTTATTTTTACTAAAGAAGAAATATTATTTGAGTTTATCATCAGAACTATAGAACCTGTATTATGCTTTAAAAAAACTAACAGCATGAGCATCCGGATTGGATCTGTATCGGTCGATACTACGAATTTTGGTATTGGGATCGGATCAGTTAAAAAAAAAATTGTATCGTTACATCCCTAGTACTATTTCCTGTCCCAGTTCTTGTTCATGCTTTGTTGAATCTGATATATATTTTTCAGGATGATCAAAAAAGTTAATGTCAAGCCCTGCATGGTAGACTCTTAATCAGAGTATTGTCTTTATCGCAATGAAATCAAATTAATGGTGTCCATGTAAACATACTCAGTGTCACTGTCTGAACGTACAGATTTATACTGGCAACTATTCTATTGCTTTCCTTACTCTTTTAACCAAAATATGGGTTAAAACATGCTAAGATGGATATCTTGACATTTTGTATAATTGCTGTTCATTTAGATAGCATTAACTATCAATACAGTAATATAATTTAATATATTTCAGATGATTTTGCCAAGATGGCCAGTCAGTTTGAGAAAACTCAATATGTATTTAGTTTATTACATAGAGATTCAATTTTGAGTTGTGATTATGGAATGAGTTTATCATTTTACAGTGTCATTAAGCACCTTTAAAAAACAAATTGTCCAATCTTTAGCAACTTCCTTTGAAAATGAGTTTGTCATGTGAGGCAGTAATGTGACCAATACAGCTAACATGCTGGATGACATTGTAAGGCAAATGTTATGGATGCTGTCCATTTCAACAGTTTTTTTGAAGATTAATGTCAGTTTGTACATGCCCATATTGCCTCTCTTCAAGGGACACAGAATGTTTATTGGAAGCTATTGTTTAGGAGGAGAAGCATAGTAGCTTATATAGCTATTTAGTCAAGAACAGTAAAGGAAGGAGGAAAATGCTATTATCACATGACTTTCCTGTGTCAGTTGCATCGCTTTCACTTTTTCTTAATCTTTGGATGCCTAAATGAAAAATGAACAAAATTATCTTGCACAGCCTCAGTCATTTTATCATCATTTAGAACAAGAGGGTCCCCCTGATGATTTGGGGACCCTATACAACTTGTGAACTTTGTGAATATATGAAGTATTAGCCATTAAGATTATGGAGTATTTGCATAGTTTTTTCCCCCTTAATTTGCTAAGTGGAGGTCAGCGAAAATGGAAACTGTGGTTGCCTACATTGTTAAAAATGCATTATGTTCCATAGAAGAAAGAAGACCAAGTTTGTTCTGGTACTTTTTGGTATTTTTTTCCTTTTGCTCTCAAGTTATTGTATAAAAAACATATTCATAGAATAAAGTTTTTGTTACATCAGTATAGAAATTAAGCAAATGCAATTTCTTAACTATGAATAAAAAAAATAATACTTTGGAAGGCATTCACTAAAACCTTACAAGAAGAAAATTAAGACTAACACTCTTTCTTCTGCAGTTTGAAGCATAATTGCTAGATCAGGTTCAGCTGACTATTAAAGCAAAACATCAGCCTTCAATGTGTGACTGGCTGCAACAAGCTCCTTTTATGGCCTTGGGAGTTAAGTGAGGTATCTTCCTGGCAGGACATGAAGTCTCCCTTTCTTTATTGGTTTTCTGGGTGTGATTCACCTCTGACTGAGTGAATGAAAGCAGATCTAATAGAAGACACCACTGTACCGAGCCCTAATCAATCGCAAGCTCTGATGATAAACATATTTTATCGCAAGGACAAATAGAACAAAACGCACAAATGAATTTATTGTAGAAATTAATCTTGTTGGTAAGATAGCTGGACAGCACAGAATAACCCTGACTTAGCTTGTGTTATAATTGCTATGTCTGTGGGACTCTTGTTTTGAAAATGGGACAGGCTGTAAGGAAGAGTAATTGAGCAGTTTTGTGAAGCAGGCAGCCATGCATGATCTCGTCTGTTCTCAGCATGTCAGAATTTACAATGCTGGATATACAGATTGTATATATAAGTATCACCCTTACCATAGAACAGAACGCACATGAATGAATTTTTTTGTATCAATTAATCTTGTTGGTAAAGTAACTGGACCACACACAATTGTATTTAGTCAGTTTTTAACATAATAAAAGTTTAAAGCATAAAAATGTAATAACGCTGGAACTACCAGAATTCTACAAGTACTCGAATGGCCAGAGCTGTCATTCTTGCCATTTATATAAAAATGTACCAAGTTGAATTTTTCCTTCGATTGAGCATTTAAAATAAGTTTGAAATGTCTGTTGTCAAATGTTATGCAGACATTACCTAGTTTTCCTCAATGTAGCCTATAATTGTGTATAAATGTTACATGTTTCCCACTTTGTTCAGCAATGTTGTTTATGAAAGTTAAAAAGACATGTCTGAAGTAAAGTTTTTGCTGTCAGAAAGTTTTTTTTTTTTTTTTTTAGCAAAAAGTAGATAGCAACAGAGACATGAGAACAGCCAAGGCTCATTCTGATTACGTACCCCTATTTACATTTCTAAGAGAGTAAAATACACCTCAAGAGTTATGTTTTTTTGCAGTTTTTGTTTTCGCGAATCAGCGAGTCCGCTGTGTACGCTTATTCAGATCTCAAACGTCTCTCGTGAGTGCCATGTGCACCTGCTGTTCTCACGTAAATCCACCAGAGGCCGCTGTCGACTGACTAACTAACAGACTGACCAACAAACCGATCCCCCCACCCTCATACCCTTTCCAAAACCCAACCAATGGTATTTTAAAAAGCACAGATTGACCCGCCCACCCCCGTTCCCCAAACCCAACCACAGTGTTTATAAAAGCAATCCAGAAAAAGAAAATCTCTCACCTGATCTTTACCACATTTTCAGATTTTATCACATTCTCACCCTGTTATTTACATGTTTGTTTTATTTTTTGCCATTTGTTGTTATGTTTTTGTCTTACCTGTTTTTGCCTTATCTGTTGTCTAACCTGGGCTCGACCCCCGTTGTCGTGGTCAACTCCGCTCTGCATCTCAAATCTGTTCACGTACATAGCAAGCGAACTGGTAACAGCGTTCATTTTAAAGATGAAATTCAGCTATACGTTCCTCTGGCTACATAATTTGCGGTCTCCAGAAATGCATACAGGGCTGTTTTTTCAGAACAAGCTTTTGTTGCATGGGAAAAAGTAACGGACCCTGGATTGCGTGTGGTCAATTTAGATTATATGGTCATTCAAGATAGAAATTCTCAGATCACTTGTAATTTTATTTAACTAACAAAGTTAGAATTAAATATACACATGTTAAGTGAGGATACTATAGTTAAATGGGATTATTTTAACAAAATTATTAAATTACTAAATTTGAAAAAAATTAGCAAAATGTGTACCTACCTACAGCTGTAGTGATAAATAACACTTTAGACCACAGATATCAGTTACACTGAAGTCTCCAGTCATCAGTGGCCTAGAAAAAGCTGCTTTATATTTTACAAGTGGCAGGTTGCCTAATCATATTGAGATCACATGATCGCTTCAATGCTATATCTAGGTAGTCCTTGTATTTTTTTGGGCTCTTTTGGTTGCAGAATAAATAAATCATGGTTTTTGAAATAAGAAATAATAATAGCCCTGTTATGGATTGGCCATCTGTTACGGGTGTTTTACCCATGGTCACCGGGAAAGACTCCAGCATCCCCACAACTCCACAGAGCATATGTGGTTTGGTCAATGGATAGATGGAAATAATAATAGTTGGTGGAAATATCAAGTGGCATCTGCTTTGCAAGATATGGTTTTTCTATATACTTTTAAAATGTTGGTCTTAAATTTAACAACTTATAATAGCAAATGAATATTTTTTTGCATTATGCACAAAAAGAAAAGATTTCACTGTTATATTAAGTTTTTTCAGTCTAGAGTGCTGACATATTTAGGTCAATTCAGAAGTCAGCATCACCTTGGTTTTCTCTACAAAATCCCCAAAGGACATTTCTCTGAATATTGGATTATTTCAGCAAAGAAACAGTGTAACCAAAGAAAAAGAAGTTTGTTATTCTCACATCTTGTTCATGGAAGTATTATCACAAAAATGATCACGAAGCCTAAATAGAAAAGGCAGAAATAATCATTTTTAAAAACCTACGCTAGTCTAAACATTACGACTAAGCTTTGAACAATCTGTTTTTGTTTAAAACATTTTACTAAAGGTTACTGATTGTTTAAGTTAGAATACTTTAAAAAGGGCAATAATGAGCTATAAAGTAGATTTTTTTTATGTCCCTGTATCCCTTTTATATTGAAGTAATAAATATCAGACTAGGGCTGAGAGATATGATAGTACATTTTTAACACAGAATAAATTGTCAATCATAATATATTTTTGTTATTCCATGTATGAATAAGATCAGGTCAGCAATCTGAGGTGAACTTTTACCTGTAATTTAGGTTAAATCTTTTTAATTACTCACTTGAAACTTCGACTGTGAGTACAGAATAGCTATGTGTACAATACCTCTCAGTGTAAGGTAAACAGTCACTCATTATCACTGGTAACTTCTGTTGCACAACAGACAGTAACTAACAGCCTTCCCCAGGTCCTGATGACTACACGGTAACATGACTGATTTATATTAGATTAAGAAAATAAAAAAAGAAAAATACACAAATAACATTATGTTATGACAAAATGTTTTCTCTTATTAGTATAGGTCAGAATATATGAAAAAGGATTGACTTATGGACTGTGACACTCAGCATGTGACACTCAGACACTCAGCTCAGCATGTGCTCTGAGATTTTTTTTTTTTTTTTTACAATTAAACCACTCTGAACTGAACTGAACTAAACTGAATTTAAACTCTGAAAACTGGACTGACTGCTTTGACACAATCTACGTTGTAAAAGTGCTATATGCCACGGTCACAATTAGGAGCAAGAAGATGTTTGAAGACAAATCCAGAGTTGTAGTCAAAAACACAGGTGATGGGTCAGTATAGGCAGGAAGCAGACAACATAAACAAACAAGGCGAGGGTCAAAATCAAGGAAAAGCAAGGCGAGGAAAACGCATTGTAATGTTCACAATCAGTATAACAAGACTCAGAACAGTTGTATGTATGTGTGAGTGCTCTCTTTATAGTCCATGTAATCAGTTCATAAGCAGCTTCAGCTGTGAGTGTTTGCAATCAGACAGGATCTAGGCCAAGCGTGTGAGTGGTGCATGACTGGATCTTGTAGTTTTTTTTGCTGCCAAATTTGTAGTTCGTTAGTGAACTGTGTTTACCAACCATCTGCACTGGCTGGATCGCTGGTGACTGTGATGCTCTACTATATTTAGCAAGATCCAAATAAAAGAAGTAAAGTCATTTTCATTGATGAAGCAGTTAAGTTTTATTTATTTGAACCTTTTTGTAGATTTTCTGGAATAACCAGCTATTTAAATAACTGTATAGTTAAATATGTCAGTATTGTTAAATAAATTACCCAATATATCAGACCTTATTTCAACAATTTCACAAATAAAAACAAAACAAAACAAAACTGTGTGCTATCTGCTGTATTGTTTCCAGGCTTGGGCCAGACAATACTACAAACCCAAATCAGAAAAAAAGGGACAGTATGGAAAATGCAAATTAAAAAAAAGAAAGTAGTGATTTCCAAATTTACTTTCACTTGTATTTCATTGCAAACAATGTGAACACAAAAAAATGTCATGTTTTGTCTGGTCAATTTCATTTCATTTGTAAATATACATCCTTTCCTGTCATTCAGACCTGCAACACATTCCAAAAACAGTTTGGACAGGAGCAATTTAGGGCTAGTAATCAGGTAAATTGGATAAATAATCAAGTGATTTTAAACAGGTGATGTCAACAGGTGATTGTAATTATGATTTGGTACAAAAGCACCATCCAAGAAAGGTCTTGTTCGTTAGAAGCAAAAATTGGCCGAGGATCACCAGTTTGCCATTTGGATACTTCACCTACAACATGGCAGAACATCATTAAAATATTCAAGGAATCTGGAGAAATATCAGGTTGTAAAGGACCAAGGCACTAAGCTGAACAATCGTCATCTCCGATCACGGAGGTGGCACTTCATTAAGAATAGGCATGCATCTATAAGCGATTATCACCACATGAGTTCAGGACTACATTGGCAAACCTTTGTCAATTACCACAACACTTAGTTACATCCAGATATGCCAGTTAAAACTGTACTGTGCCAATAAGCCCTATGTAAACAGTGTTCAGAAGCGCCGTCGACTTTTCTGGGCTTGGAGGCATCTGGGATGAACCATCACACAGTGGTAACATGTCTTGTGGTCAGATGAATCAGTATTAATTATATTTTTGGGGAGAAATGGATGCCATGTGCACTGTACCAGGAAGAATGGAATAAAATTAACCTGAAACACTACATTACTGGGTGTCTTCAGTCCCTAAACATATTTTAAGTATTGTGAAAAGGAATAGAAGCATTACAAAGTGGTATATGCTGTTCCAACCATTTTTAAACAGGAACCAAAATTGGAATGCATGTGTATTTTGAAAAAATCACGAGGAACACAATAAATAATGTTTGTTGTATTGTTTAGAAATCACCACTTTTTTTTTTTTTATTTGCGTTTTCCATATTGTCCCAACTTTTTCTGATTTGGGATTGTAGAACTACCTGCACAACTGTATTTCTTCAATCATAATTTTGTTACCTATAAAATTAACTGGTTAACATTTTCCCATTTGCAGAGTTTGTGTCAGTGGATCTTAAGTGTCAAGAAGAACTACAGAAAGAATGTGGTCTACCACAACTGGAGACATGCCTTCAACACCTCCCAGTGCATGTTTGCTGTGCTGAAGTCTGGCCGTGTTCAGGTCAGTGATAACAAATATCACAAACCCAAGGGTCACTTCAGCAAGCTTATGGCGTACGACTTCACCTTCAGTTCACAAATAAGTAACCATGCTGACACCTATTAACACATTGTGTATGTTCCCTGTAACTAAACAGTAACTAGGACAGAAAACAACTAGGTACAATTTTATCACTTTAATGTATTAATACTTGGATAAAAAACATTTTGTTTACCTTCATTTTAGAGAAATTGTATATTTGAAAACAAAAGAGCCTTAGACTGTTCTCTTTTAAGGAGAGATCGTTTTATAGTTATAAGTAAAAATGAAACTGGCAGAACAGTTTTATTGTGCATTACACTATAAATGTCTTCTGTTGTTTACAGTGGTAGTTAATCATTTGCATTCATACACCTGCTTAGGCTGCTAGAAAATGCATGCTTTCTGTTTGTATTTTATTCATTTTTTATAGTAAACTCTAACATTGACTTTATGTTAATGTTATCAACTTTTGCAATTACTTGCAACTACAAATGATCACTGTGAATGTTTTGTTTACGGCTAGTGTTTTATGAATTGAGAACTACACTCATCGGCCACTTTATTAGGTACACCTTACAAGTACCGAATTGAACCCACTTTTGCTTTCAGAACTGCTTTAATCCTTCATGACAGATTCAACATTGTACTGGAAATATTCCTCAGAGATTTTGATCTGTGATAGCATCACGCAGTTGCTGCAGATTTGTTTGCGGCACATCCATGATGCGAATCTCCCATTCCACCATATCCCAAAGGTGCTTTATTGGATTGAGAACTGGTGACTGAGGCCATTTGAGTACATTGAACTCATTGTAATGTTCAAGAAACCAGTCTGAGATGATTCATGGTTTATGATATGGCGCGTTATCCTGTTGGAAGTAGCCATCAGAAGATGGGTACACTGGCCATAAAGGGATGGACATGGTCAGAAACAATACTCAGGTAGGCTGTGACATTGACACAATGCTCAATTGGTACTAATAGGCCCATAGTGTGCCAAGAAAATATCCCCTACACCATTACACCACCACCACCAGCCTGAACCATTGATACAAGGCAGGATGGATCCATGCTTTCATGTTATTGACGCCAAATTCTGACTTTACCATCCAAATCCTGCAGAAGAAATCGAGACTCATCAGACCAGGCAAAGTTTTTCCAATTTTCTATTGTCCAATTTTGATAGCCTGTATGAATTGTAGCCTCAGTTTCCTGTTCTTGGCTGACAGGAGTGGCACCCGGTGTGATCTTCTGCTGCTGTAGCTCATCCGCCTCAAGATTGGGTGTGTTTTGCATTCAGAGATGCTCTTCTGCATACCTCAGTTGCAACGAGTGGTTATTTGAGTTTCTGTTGCCTTTTTCTCTTGGTCAGACCATTCTCAGTAAATCCTAGAAATGGTTGTGCGTGAAAATCCCAGTAGATCAGCAGTTTCTGAAATACCCAGCTGGCACCAACAACCATGTTCAAACCAACGTTCAAAATCACTTAAATCACCTTTCTTTCACATTCTGATGCTCGGTTTGAACTGCAGCAGATCATCTTGACCATTTGTGTTAATGTGTAGTTAGACAGTAGTACCTAATAACGAGGCTGGTAAGTGCATAAGTAAAGCCTTGTTTTGGCATTCCAGATGACTTCTAATTAGACATACATATATGAATTTGTTTTTGGATGGCATGGATTTTTTGGGGAACACATTATTTTAAAGTGTTCTTGTTACAGTGTAGCAATTTATGTATCTGCTGAGTAATATTAAAGTGTTACCCATACTGGTAACAGTTTACTTGATGGGGTGTTCATAAGACTGCCATTAAAGCTTTATAATAATGGCATGACATGTGTCATGAATGTGTATGAGATTTTGTGCATACTTATAACAACTGTCATTAAGGGCCCTATCATACACCCGGTGCAAGATGTGTAGGAAATGATTTATTGCTATTTTCAGAACAGCGAAACAGTAATTTTCACGTTTTGCACCACATCGTTTAAATAGCAAATCCGTTTGGTGTGCTGGTCTATAAAGGTGGTGTGTTAAGGCACATTGTTGGCGCATTGCTATTTTGAAACTGCGCCATTGACCAGAGCAGAATGAGTTAGTTATGCGCCTATGTGGTTTCAAACGCTTACACATTGTTCAATACACAGGATGTACAGCAATACACAACTATCTTTACATATGATAAAAATTAAAGGATTAAAATATTACAAAAATTAGTATTTACTACATAAATATAAAAACCTCTGCCTCCATGCCCTCTTCATGTTGGGGGGCTTTTTCAGTTTATTTATGACAATTTGCATTTGTATAATGTTATTATTATTATTAGCAGTATTATTTATTATATGCGAATTTATATTTGTTTTAATAAAAACAAGCTTAGATTTGTCCGCCTGTTGGGTTTTGGAGATGTATATATCACCATTTGGGGCATAAGAATAGGACTTATGTTTGGAAATTGCTCAGTTTTTTACCACATTTCATTAATATTGTTCATTTATTCGTTTGCTGAAAATTAGAACTGAATTTGAAAATAGTTTTAAAACAAATCCTTGCACTTACTGAACAAAATTAAATGTGTAGACTAATGGATGTCTTCAGTGGAGTGCATACAACATTGTTTCCTTATGCGTGAAAGTAAAGGAGTAAAGTAAAGAGTAAAAGTAAAGAGGCTCAATGGAGGAGGCTCGTTTCCCATGTAAATAGAAAATGTGTCATGGCACGACGCAACTGACTCTTAAAGAGAATGTGAGATGAGATTCTGATTGGTTTAATGCACGTTATACTCAAAACAAACCCATAACTCATTAAGAGAGTAAGACCATGCGCTGGACACGCCCTTAATGCTTTTGCGCCATGCGATTTAGACTTCGCGCCTAGATTGTTAAAAAAGAGCCCTTAGTCTCATCCCTTCGGTTATGACATTTAAATGCAAAAATGGCCTTGCTTGTTATGACAACTTGACAAACAAATACATCACAACCTGTTTTTGTCTTTTTTCATGACAACTTGCAATGACTAGACAACAAAACTTGTCATAAATCAGTCATAAAAATGGTTTTCATAGGACCATTAGAAATATGAATATATATATATATATGATGACTTTTATAACACCCTCATTATTTTTATTTTATAAAAAAATATTATGCAATATTAATGACGCTGTTAAAATTATCCACTGAAAATGAGATTCGAAAAATATTCATGACACAATTATAATGCATCATGACAATCCTGTTTATGACAGATTTATGACAAGGTATGTTGTCTTGGTAATATTAAGTTGTCATGACAAAGATGAAGACTGGTTATGATGCATTTGTTTGTCAAGCTGTCATCTAAAATGGCATAACTGAACAAATTATACTTTATAAGCATCATTGTCATAAGCATGCAAAAAATCGCATTCATGACATCCATGACATGTCAAGATTTTAAAAGTTTCATGACAGTCTTATGAACACCCCTGTCTTACTCATGTGCTTACTATATGGGTGTAACTAGAATGTCGGTGATGTTTAGATTGAATTGCATGTAATTATGTTTAATTAGTTGTAACTATGGTAATTACATGGAACAAATGCAACAAGGACACCTTAAAATAGAGTTTTACGATTATCCTCTTTGCAGTCTTGTCTTGTAATAATTTTTAAATGTATTGAATTTATCAGAGGATTTGGTGTAATGGCTGTTCCGGCATATGTTTAACCAAAATATTGTGTTTTAATTAACAGAATAATCTGAGTGATTTGGAGACTTTAGCTTTAATGATTGCAACATTGAGTCATGATTTGGACCACCGAGGGGTCAACAACTCTTACATAAAAAGGTTTGTGCTGACACTAGTTTGATGTGCCAGATGTGTTATTTCTGTATGTAAAAATAAGCCTCTTGTTTCAACAGAAGTGACCATCCACTGGCCCAACTGTACTGCCACTCCACAATGGAGCATCACCACTTTGACCAGTGTCTCATGATTCTCAACAGCCCTGTAAGTAGTTTATAGACAGACTGATAGATTTACTGATTATGCAATGTTAGGGAAAATAATAGTATCTAATAAACAAAAGACTGGGTAGATTAAATATTTTGTTTTAATAGAAAATCATTGACAGCATCTACAAAATCCATGAATGTACTGACCTACATTACCAAGACTATATACAGTTGAAGTCAGAATTATTAGCCCCCTGTTTGTTTGTTTCCCAAATTTCTGTTTAATGGGGAGAAGATTCTTTCAACACATTTCTAAACATAATAGTTTTAATAACTCAATTCTAATAACTGATTTATTTTATCTTTTCCATGATGACAGTAAATAATATTTGACTAGATATTTTTCAGGACACTTCTATACAGCTTAAAGTGACATTTAAAGGCTTAACTAGGTTAACTAGGCAGGTTAGAGTAATTAGGCAACTTAATGTGTAATGATGGTTGGTTCTGTAGACAATATATATACAGTTGAAGTCAGAATTTTTTGTCCCCCTTTGAATTGTTTCTTCTTTTTTAAATATTTCCTAAATGATGTTTAACAGGGCAAAGATATGTTCAGAGTATGTCTGTGTAACGAGGAGACTGACACGGAGGGATCCATTATGCAGTATTTATTAGTCAAGCTTTCACTCAAACACACAATATGCACTAAAGTGCAAACACACATCAACACTAGTCTGTGAAGTATCAAGACTGACGGTGAATAGACACAGAGGGGTTTACCAGGCATTGGTCGAGGGCAGGCAGCGAGTATCAAAGTCCGAATATCAGGCGTGGTTCGTGAGCAGGCAGCGAGTATCAGAGTCCGTGTATCAGGCGTGGGTCGTGGGCAGGCAGAAGGCGAAGCAGAGTCAGAAACAGGCTGGAGTAATACACGAGGAATCAGGCAGGGAATAACGCTCAGAAATGCTGGCCAGGGCTAAACAAGACTTCGCACTGAACGAGTGTTTGAGTGCGGCTTAAATAGGGTACGTGGGTCGTTATCTAGATTCAGGACAGGTGTGTGCACAATCAGCGTAAGTGGATGATGTAATGCTAGAAGTCCGGAGATGGCGGCCTCTGCTGGCCAGCGAGGGGAGTGACTGGGACCGAGTCGGTGACAGTCTGATATTTTTTCTTCTGGAGAAAGTCTTATTTGTTTTATTTTGGCTAGAATAAAAGCAGTTTTTAATTTTTTTTAAAAACCATTTTAGGGACAAAATTATTTGCCCCTTAAGCTAATTTTTGTTTTTATAGTCTACAGAACAAACCACTGTTATACAACTTGCCTATATAACTTGCCTAATTACCCTAACCTGCCTAGTTAACCTAATTACCTAGTCAAGCCTTTAAATGTCACTTTAAGCTGTACATAAGTGTCATGAAAAAAATATCTAGTCAAATATTATTTACTGTCATCATGGCAAAGATAAAATAAATCAGTTATTAGAAATGAGTTATTAAAACTATTATGTTTATAAATGTGATGGAAAAAAATCTTCTCTCCCGTTAAACAGAAATTGGGGGAAAAATTTTTTTTTAGTTTTTTACCCGGGAAAGTTCTCATTTGCCGGCACAATTCCTTATTTTAGCTCTACCAAGATAACAATCTAGTAAAAGGTAAGTTAACTAAGTGCATCATAGAACAACAGATAAATTTGTTATGAAGAAAAGCCGGGATAGGCGGAACTATGTTAAATGGATTCGTAACTGAACCGCTGCGTTGGCCGCCTACGCAATCCTTTCCTTTCATAACCAAGACCGCATCCAACCAAATCAAATAACCTACACACCGAGTTATCAAAATGTCCACCACTGAGAGGTATCCACCTCTAGAAAATACATGGTTTAAGTCGAACTGAAACAATGACAGTTGTTATAAGCATGCAGAAATTACGTGTCATGTTAGAAAGCAAACTTTTAAATTAATGCATTTCCCTTTTTATCAAAATGACAATAAATAATCTGGAGTAATAAAATATTAGTGCTGGCTTTTACTAGACAGTATATCTGAGTATATCAAAGAAAAAAAAAAAAAAACATGCTAACCTTCTATAATTGATTAATTGAAGACCAAACAGGAAGTTTAAAGCTTAGATTTTAAAGAAATTTTAGGGATTTCTGCTCAGCTTAAGTTTAAAATAAACTTTTTAAAGGTAACCCTATTCAAAGTATTTATTGTAAAGCACTCATTTTATAAAGTCGGCTTTTGCAAATGTTTTTTTTTTTACTAATTTTGCCTGCCTGTTTAAAATTTGAAGTTTATGTTATGAGATTTTGTATGCTTGTACACGTACTTTAGTAAAATAGAAAACATTTATAATTATCAAATATAAATCAAATTGTGAAAAATTTGATAATATTAATAATTAGCAAATTATTGTTAATAATAACCACTTTTGTGAGGCATTCATTTAGTTTTTCAAGCATATAACAAAATGAAAGGCCGTTTAAATGCAAGCGCTGTCAGGAGCAGCAGGCAAACACTGAAACTCCCTTGAAAACAAACTCCCCTGGTAAAATCAACTTATGTCTGGTGTGAAACCCACTTTATATCATATCTCAGTCAGGCTGAGAAGAGCATTAATATTTAACAAACCAGCTTTTAAATGTGGTAAATTTATAATAGCATAGCAGTTCAGCGGAAGTGTCATTTTGTTAATAGTATTAATAAATAACTTCAATAGTAAACCTGTAATGTGATGACCTCTGACTCTACTCCTGATAAGAGTTATTTACTCCTGCATTAGAAAATCAGATTTCATATATAAGCATTATGATTTTGCTCAGAAAAAAAAACTCTTTAGGGCACATTTATATTAGGGAATAATCATCATCTTTCACATTCAGCAAATTTAATAAGAACGCCTTGCTTTTCTCATTGTCATAGCAACATTCTGACATCATCAGTGTTCATCACTTCATCATCTTAGAAGTATAAGGTTCTCTCTGACATTTTTGTCAAAATTGAGTTATTGACATTCTTATTAAATAACAACTTATTTACATTATGGGATGTTTTTTTGTAAGTTGTTTACATTTTAAGACTTTTTATTAAAAAAAAACAATTGTTACACACATTTTGTTTACTATATGGAATACAAAGCTCAATATCTCAAAATTGTTCAGAGCGCAGATAGAACCTTATAATTCCAAGGTGATGATTTGCCCTGCAATGTAGCTTTTGTTCAAAAAAACCATTGCTTGTACTACTAAAGGATGGGAATTTGAATACTGACCTATCTCAAGTATTAAACTACTTTACTGTACAGGCAAGAGTGATCAACTATGTATTTTTAAAGAGACATGCTATTTCTTTAATACCGTCAATATATGTGCCATGTATTTAATTGTTCTTTGTATATCAGGTTCTCCAGAAATGTTTTTTTCTTGTCCGTGTACAACCCTAGGATTTGTCCATAGAATAAAAAGCTCTCTTTTACCTTTTTTTGGAAAGGTTGTAAATTTTAGTGAACTTTGACCCAGGGTAACCTAGTTTGCTTCTGAGTTTTATGTTGAACAAATGTATAATTCGTATTTCCTGTGTTTGGAGGAACTTTGATTAGATAAGTTACTTCATGTCCGTTACATTAGCGATACTCAAAATAACAGTCCCAAAATAGATGTACACTCACTGGCCACTTTATTAGATACACCTTACTGGTTTCGGGTTGGGCCCCCTTTTGCCTTCAGAACTGCCTTTATCCTTCATGGCATAGATTCAACAAGGTACTGAAAATATTGTTCAGAGATTTTTGGTTCATATTGACTTGAGCATCACGCAGTTGCTGCAGATTTGTCAGCTGCACATTCATGTTATGAATCTCACATTCCACTACATCCCAAAGGTGCTCTCTTAGATTGAGATATGGTGAATCTATGCCACGAGATTTAAAGCAGTTCTGAAGGCAAAAGGTGGGTCCAACCTGGTAAGGTGTACCTAATAAAGTGGCCAGTGAGTGTATATCGTCATCTAAAATATCTTAATTTCTTTAATGAGAACAAAGGGTCTTGTGATATGTAAAACATTAGGGTAAGTGGTTAAAAGATTTTGTGGATGAATTAACACTTTAAATAGAGAGTTAATCCTCAACTTCCTAAATGCAGACAAAGTTATTCTGTAGTGTAACATCAATGTGTCATGCAACGAAACGTTATATGGCCAGATCAATATAATCTATAGTCTTGATCTAAAATCTATCCATCATAATGGTGTCAATTTAAAAGCCCCATCTGCTGACATAATGTTGACCTAATTCATGTTTCACAGCAAGAAACCACATCGTTCATATAAAAGGCCAGCATGAAAACAACCTGTAGTGTTTTATGGTCATATTGAACCTTCCTTCATTTACATAATATTATAGACAGAATATATTTCTCTCTCAGGGTAATCAGATTCTGAGTGGTCTTTCCCTGGATGAGTACAAGGCGACACTGAAGATGATTGAGAAGGCTATTTTGGCCACTGACCTGGCTGTCTACATGAAGTAGGTACCAGATGTCATGCACAGCCGGAAGCTCTTTGAGGGACCCTGTAAAGAGAGTTATTATTTGAGCACACTTGAGCTGATTATAATCCATTTTTTGTTGTCTGTTCATAATGCTGTCTGTCTGCAGAAAAAGAACAGAATTCTTCGAGCTAGCTAAGAACAGTCAGTTTGAATGGGAAGATGATTGCCACAGGGATCTATTAAGGTGAGCATTCAGTCAATAATGTAATGTGCTATTGTTTAGCTCACTGCATATATATATATATATATATATTTCCTAATTATGGTGTTATGATTTTCTGTAGGTCGATGCTGATGACAGCATGCGATATATCTGCTATTACAAAACCATGGCCAGTTCAGAAGAAGGTAAAGCTACACATGTTTATAGATTTATATACTCTATTTATAATTATAGTAATAAAAAAAAACTTTATAACTTATAATAAAACAAAACTATATACATTTCTATTTATATTCTTCTAAAACACTTTATATTTAATTAAATAGAGCATTATTCAGTGAATATCAGTTTATATGTATTTTGACATCCAGCTACTAGTTTACTGAGAAATGAAAATTCTGTTATTAATTACTCAACCCTTGTGTTGTTCCAGTGTCCTGAGATCTTATTTATTTAATTTTTTTAAGACAAATTAAAATGTATTAGATGAAATTCGAGAGCTCTCTCATCCTCCATATACAGCAAACAAGACGTTCAAATTTCAGAAAACGAAACCAAAAACACGATCAAAATATTCTGTGTGACTTCAAGGGTCCAAGTGTAATCAATCAAAGCTCCAAAAACACTACTTTGAACATGACTTTGTTTTCTCTGCATCACGTCCGGCATTATGTTTACTATCGGCAATACAATGCATGTTGCATTGCTGACTCTAATGGCATAAATGGCATAATGTGGTATTCCCTGCAGTAAACAGAAGCAAAAACATTTGGCTTTATCATACACACCAGAAAAATAATGCGCAAGACTTGTTTGGCGTGATTTGTTGCTATTTTTAGACCAGCGCAACTTTAATTTTCACGTTTTGCACCACGTTGTTTAAATAGCTAATCCAGTTGAGTCACTTTGTGGACTCATGGTCATGCTGGTCTACAAAGGAGGTGTGTTAAGCCTGGTTTATACATTTATACTTCTGTGCTCTCTGTTGGTCTGCATTAACACTAGTTGGCAGTGATGTGTTAATGTTCCTCTGTGTCGAGTTTCTTCGCTCGTGTTTATAGATTTATATACTCCATTTATAATTATAGTAATAAAAAAACTTTATAACTTATAATAAAACAAAACTATATACATTTCTATTTATATTCTTCTAAAACACTTTATATTTCATTAAATTGAGCATTATTCAGTGAATATCATGTATTTTGACATCCAGCTACTAGTTTACTGAGAAATGAAAATTCTGTTATTAATTACTCACCCTTGTGTTGTTCCAGTGTCCTGAGATCTTTTTTTTTTTTTTTAAGACAAATTAAAATGTACATTTTAGCCTGGTTTATACATTTATACTTCTGTGCTCTCTGTTGGTCTGCATTAACACTAGTTGGCAGTGATGTGTTAATGTTCCTCTGTGTCGAGTTTCTTCGCTCGTGTTTTGTTTTTTTCTGAACGCTTTCTGAATGTACAAGTTGCTCAAACTCGCTCATTTTGAGGCAGGAACCGGCGGACGTGCAACAACTTTACGGGACTCCACACTTGTAAACAATCGCTCCATTGAGCTCGCGCCACTTTTGGTGCCGCCCAGACTCATCAGCACTACCCAGCCGACCAATCACAGAGCTTGCGCTACGCGTCGGTGCAACGTGTGGTTAAATTTTTTGAGAGGTGCACGTCAGCGACAGCCACGGCGTAGGGCTATGCGTCAACGCGTAGGCTGCGCCGTAGCATACGTGTGCGCTTGACGCAGAAGTATTAATCAGCCTTTAAGGCACATTGTTGGTGCGTTGTTATGTTTAGTTTAGTTTTGAGGAACTAAAATAGACTTTGCTATAGACCAGCTGAAGAGCAAGTTATGTGTCTGTGTGGGTTCAAACACTTACACATTGATTAATACACACAGGATGTACAGCAGTTCACAAATATCTTTACATTGGAAAACAAAATTAAACGATTAAAATGTCACAAAAATTATTATTTTCTACATAAATATAAAAATCACTACATCCATACCTTCTTCATCTCTGTGGGGCTTTTTTCAGTTTATTCATGAAAATCTGCATTTGTATAATGCAATTATTATTAACAGTATTATATATTATATGCATATTTATATTTGTTTTAATAAAAACAAGTTTAGATTTGTCCTGTCGGGCTTTGGAGATGTATGCATCACCATACGGAGCATAAGAACAGGATGTGTGTTTGGATATAACTCAGTTGTTTGACAACATTTCATTATTATTGTTCATTTATTTGTTTGCTGGAAATTAAAACTGAACTTTTAAGTTGTTTTGAAACAAATCTTTGTGCTTAACAAACACAATTACAAATGTAGGCTAATGGATGTCTTCAGTGGAGTGCGTACAACAACGTTTCCTTAAACCACGAAAGTAAAGGAGTGAAGTAAAGATTAAAAGTAAAGAGGCTGAATGGAGGAGGCTTATTCTTTATCCTGGCGCTGCAGATGGTCTGTTGAACGGTTTTCTTTCTAGTAAAGCATTTAGTTTTTCCTTTTACAAAGTCTATCATGTAAATAGCAAATGCAACATGGCGCAACGCAGCTGACTCGTTTTTTTGTTTTTTTTTACCAAATATATTTTGTGCAGACACAATATCATGTACATACAAAAATAAGTAATATACTGTTCTTCTTTTTCACAACTAAGACAATGACCATAAAAACAATATAGTTATTAAATAACACAGTAAATGTAAAATAAATAAAATATATAAATAAATAAACAAATAAATACACAATTGACACAATTGGACTCTTAGGGAATGGGAGTTGAGACTCTCATTGGTTTAATGCACTTTATGCTCAAAACACACCCATAACTCATTAAGAGAATAAGCAAAACCCTGTTAGATCGTATTTTTCCATCCTTAAAATAGCAAAAGTGGATTCAGACATGCCCTTAAGGCTTTTGTGCCATGCGCGTTACACCTTGCGCCTAGATTGCTAAAATAGAGCCCTTTATGAAACAATGTTGTTTTTACAGTTGTTTTGGTGCACAAAAGTATTCATTGAGCTTCATATGATTACAGTTGAACCACTGAAGTCACAAAGAAGGTTTTAACAATGTTTTTGGTTGCTTTATTGGTACCATTGCTGAATATGAAGGGTCATTGAGCGTTTGGATTTCAATAAATGTCTTAATTTGTGTTCGAAAAATGAACAAAGTTCTCAGGGAATTAGTACAACTGAAGGTGAGTAATAATTAACTATCTTCATTTCAAGTTGAGTTTACAAAATATTTAAACGTTATTAGTATAAAATATTTCATTGCTTTGGAAATTTTAAAAACACATTCTGTATTCTGTATATGTCCTGTAAAGCTGTGGTCACACTTCACCATTCTCCCCATAGACTTCTTTTCATACACACGCGAATGCGTCAGACCGGAAACTCAAGGCAATGCGTCAAGTTTTGCAGTTCGCTGTGTTGGAAAGTTCAAGCTTGGTGAACTCTGACCTGCGAAATCGCATCACATGACTGCGTGAGACCAATTGAGGATCAAAACATTACCTCATAGTACATGAATTTACAACATGCACCAATCACTCGCTTTTTTTAATGTCTAATCATCTTGTTTAATCCCGCCCCATTTCGCAGCGCAGTATGACAGAATTTTGCAAGCTTAAACTCTGCAGCTTAAATCTTCTGTTATATGACATCATGACTATCTCCTCTCACTCATTTCCATGAATGTTCGCTTTGTCTTCGGTAATTAACAAGCTTGTTTGCTAATTAGTTGAGGGTGAAGGTCCAGCTGCAGCTCTTCTCAGCCCAACTAGAATGGTCACAATTCAGACTTCACCCTCTCATAAAACATCCAGGATCACTCTATAATCTAGAGTGACGCAACTGATGACCTATAAACAGGCTTATTATTTACAGCAAATACATGCATGCGGTTGTTGAAAATGACACACTGTGCTTTTGTTTTTTGTTTTGTGGCTGGTTAGAAATGAACATTATTCAATTATTACATTAGCATACATGTTGATTCACATGCTGTTGTTACACAGACAGCAGGATATTCAATTCAATTAATTTCAAGTTTGTTTGTATGGGGCTGGTCATGATAATTATTGTTCCAAAGCAGCTTTACAAAATATGCATGTTATTACAATACAACCATGGTGAGCTAACCCTTGTGTATTAATTATAAATGAATAGCAATGTTTTTCACATTTGTTGGTGCGATACTTTGTAGTGTGCAATTTAACATAAATGCATCTAGGAGTCGCCAAAAGAAATAAAACAAACACACAAAAGAAATGCAAGTTTGCCAGACATGAAGTTGGCGTGGTCTAACACACATTCTTGTGTTCATTTAATCGTTAGTAAATCCAAACGTGAGCATAAAACCTGGCTTATGCAAAGTTTTTGCGCATACGCAGCGTTAATACATTAGGCCCCTGGTGTATGGTGTGTGGTCTGGCGCAATATGGATGCCATCGGGTCATCCAGGTGGATGCTTCATAAATATGTAAAGCACTTTGAGTGTCCAGAAAAGCACTACATAAATGTAAGCTATTATTATTATTATTAAATCTTTCACATGGGAACATTCTAACCAGACTATGCACAAATGCCATAAATAAGCAAACCTGTGAGTGAATGGTGGAGAAATTTAATTTAAACCACACAGGAAAGTGTCATGTAATTGATCATTTGATGTGAAGATAATGTTAAATAGTTAAAAAGTTGTGAATCCCAAAAAATACCAAAAATAACCAATAATTAACATTTATTTGTGTCTCGGCAGATAGCAGAACTGGTTGCCACGGAGTTCTTTGAGCAAGGCGATAAGGAGCGGAGAGAGCTAAACATTGAACCTATTGTAAGCTCTTGTATTATAGAAAGATTTATTGAGTTTTATGAAGACTTGTGCTTAGAAACAGGCCAGTAACTGTGAAAATGACTAACTAGTAACTTTACTCTTTCCTAGGATCTGATGAACAGGGAGAAACAGGATAAAATTCCCAGCATGCAAGTGTCATTTATTGATGCCATTTGTACACAGTTATATGAGGTACATGTTCTCTGCTCGTATTTATTCTGTTTTCATTGTAAACGAACCTTCTAGCAAAAACAAATACTGCCTCACCTACTGATCTGAGTTTCAAGTGCCACTTCCTGTTGGCTACCTGAGGTGAAATGTAATTTTGCCACGTTTTGGTGTAGGTTTTAAACTTAAATCCTTTTACAGAAAATAAGTGTCACCTGTTTTTGAGACTTCAATTAGAATACCCCTTAGATTGTTTTGATATTATAATAATAATATCAAAATAAGAACTAAATAAAAAACACTAATAATAATTCTACAAAAAACCCACCTGTCAGGTTATGGTACAGATTGCGAAGTAAATGTAATATATACAAATTTATTAGCTCTCCTATGAAATTGTTACTATTTTTCAAATATTTCGCAGCACTTTTAGCTTTTGTTTGCATATTTCTTTAAATGCAGTAATTTAAATAACTAAATTATTTCTTTTGTCTTTCCCTTGATGACATTCCATAGTATTTTACTAGTTATTTTGCATAAAATGAGTTTTTAGCATAAAGTGCTGTCTTAACAGGGTTAGGTTAACTTGGCTAGTCACTTGCAGCATGCTGGCGCAGTGGGTAGCACTGTCGCCTCACAGCAACAAGGTCACTGGTTCGCACCATGGCTGAGTCAGTTGGCATTTCTGTATGGAGTTTGCATGTTCTCCCGGACCGGTACTGGGTGTGCTCTGGTTTCCCCACTAGTCCAAAGACATGCGCTAGGTGAATTGAGCAAGCTACATTGTCCATAGTGTATGTGTATGTCCTGGTCCTCCCGGTTGGGGGTTGAGCGTTGGGCTAACGACCCACCTTGTAAAAATGAGATGTTATGAAACCAATAGGGTGCAGTTAAATATCAACTTCGATATAAACAGCCCTGCGAGTAAGTAAAGCAAATCATTAGTTTGTGCTGTATTATTATTCAATTATTTATAATAATAAAATATTAAGGGGGCTAGTAATATTGACCTTAGCAGTTAGTATTTTTTTTGTATTCCAGCCAAACTAAAATAAATTATATTTAAGAAGAGAAATATAGCAGGAAATATAGTGAAAATGCCCTTGCTCTGTTAAATGTCACAGAGCAAACATGTGAAAAAGTAATACAAATTTCACAGCTGGACTAATAATTTTGTTTATAACTTTATTTCTGCATTCTAAAAATGCTGGGTTATTTATACCCAAATTTAGGGGGGAAATTACCCTGCAGTTTATTCTAATATAACCCAGCATTTTTAGAGTGCATATAAGCCACACACATAAAGTATCTTTCATGATTAAAACAAACTTTTTTTTTCCTAGTGTGGCCGTGTGAACACTACAACCTTAGTTTTGGCCTCATGATGTCAGCGTGCATGCTGTTTTCTCCTTTCTGATTGGCCAACATGGCTGAGTTCACATCAAACATGGATGATGTGAGAGGCAAATCTTGCACGTTCACAGCAAACTTAGAGCGTATTCAGCATAGTTTGACTGCAAGATGGTAATCTGTCTTTGTTTGCATTTCACTCGCGAAATATACTTAGTTCATTGTTTGGTGTGAACTCAGCATAAGTGTCATTATCTTCGCCTGTTGGTTCAGCATGCCCTTAACATGCAGTAGGGCAAAAAAGTATTTAGTCAGCCACCAATTGTGCAAGTTCTCCCACTTAAAAAGATGCCTGAGGTCTTTAATTTTCATCACATGTATACCTCAACTTTGAGAGACAAAATAAGAAAGAGCAATCAAGAAAAATCCGAATATTTAAAGAATTTATTTGCAAGTTATGGTGGAAAATATGTATTTGGTCAATGACAAAATTTCATCTCGGTACTTTGTTATATACCCTTTGCTGGCAATGACAGAGGCCAAATGTTTTCTGTAAGTCTTCACAAGATGCCTCCATGCAGATCTCCTCTAGAGCAGTGAAGTTTTGTGGCTGGGCAACATGGACTTTCAACTCCCTTCAAAGTTTTATGATGGGATTGAGATCTGGAGACTGGCTAGTCCACTCCAGGACTTTGAAACGCTTTGTACAAAGCCACTCCCTCATGCCCGGGTGGTGTGTTTAGAATCATTGTCATGCTGAAATAGCCAGCCATGTTTCATCTTCAATGCCCTTGCTAATAGAAGAAGGTTTTACTCAAAATCTCATCATACATGGCCCAGATCAGTCATCCTGGTCCCTCTACAGAAAAACAGCCCCTAAGTATGTTTCCACCCCCATGCTTCACAGTAGGTATGGTGTTCTTTGGATGCAACTAGGCATTCTTGCTCCTCCAAACACAACAAGTTGAGTTTTGACCATCTGACATTCACCCAGCAGTGTGTTACTGATAGTAGTCTTTGTTACTTTGGTCCCAGCTCTCTGCAAGTCACTCACTAGGTCCAAGTGGTTCTGGGATTTTTGCTCAAAGTTCTTGTGATCATTTTGACCCCTTGGGGTGAGATCTTGAGTGGAGCCCTAGATTAACAGTGGTCTTGTCTGTCTTCCATTTTCTAATAAGTTCTCCCACAGTTGATTTCTTCACACCAAGCTGCTTACCTGTTGCAGATTCAGTTTTTCCAGCCTTTTTAGGTCTACAATTTTGTTTCTGGCGTCCTTTGACATATCTTTGGTCTTGGCCAGGGCTGTCAAACTCAATTCCTGGAGGGCCGAAGCCCTGCACAGTTTAGTTCCAACCCTGCTCCAACACACTTACCTGTAGGTTTCAAACAAGCCTGAAGGACTCAATTAGTTTGATCAGGTGTGTTTAATTAGGGTTGGAACTAAACTGTGCAGAGCTGCGACCCTTTTGGAACTGAGTTTGACACCTGTGGTCTTGGTCAATGTGGAGTTTGGAGTGTGAGTGTTTGAGGTTGTAGACCGGTGTCTTTTAGACTGATAATGAATTCAAACAGATGCCATTAGTACATGTAATGAGTAGAGGACAGATGAGCCTCTTGAATGAGTTAGAAGTGTGTAAGAGCCAAATACTTAATTTACCAAAGAATTTACCAATTCATTCATTAAAAATTCTACAATGTGATTTTCTGGATTGTTCTTTCTAATTTTGTCTCTCGTAGTTGAGGTATACCTATTAAAATTACAGACCTCTTGCATCTTTTTAAGTGGATGAATTTGCACAATTGGTGGCTGACTAAATACTTTTTTGCCCCTCTGTACATCAGTGCTTAATTCATTTGGACAGAATTTTTTCTTATTTATTTTTTAAATGAAACCTGAGAAAACTCTCTAAAAATACCCCTAGACGTGGGTTTCTAAAAATACCCATAGACGTGTGGACATGGCCTTAGTTATCATGTGCTTCTTCTAATAGTTTTTGTCCTGTCCTGTCCCACAGGCTCTGACTGGGATCTCTGAGTTCTGCTCCCCCCTGCTGGAGGGCTGCCGGAAGAACAGGCAGAATTGGAAGATTCTTGCTGAACAAGGAGAGGAAGCAGCGCTGCTAAATGGAGAACTGTAACTGTTCATACTTCCTTTGACTATTCTCGTCACTCCACACACCTTTTCCTGAGACTGAAGGACTGCATGACTTGGGTGTAATGACACCGATCCAGGCATTTCACCCAGCACACTGGAGCAGGCTTTAAAAGGTTAATGTTGGGTTAAAGTAGCAGCAGACTACAGTAACATCTTCAATCAAGACAACAAGTGCTGTAAAAGACTTGATGGGGAAGCAAAGGATGGAAGGATCGAGTAATGCAGCTGATGAATAGATGTTTAAAACTGTGACTAAACCATCCTGACCCATTTGAGGAATGTTCCAGGTTCAGTTCAAGTTCTTACCAAAGCATGCGTGACACGCTGACTAATACCACAGAAACATATTTTGATATGCTATAGTTAGAATCAAAAGCTGGAATCTCTGGTGAAATGTCACCTGTCAGTCTGTCTGAGTCTGAAAACATTTCAGAAGTAGCGTTACCGACATTATTTGCATAATACTTAGTTGGATCATAACCAAAGCATAGCCAGAGCTAGCATCCATTTAGTTGTTTAAACATTTAAATGAGAGATAGTTCACCCAAAAATGTATAAATGCTCAGCATTTACTCACCTTCAGTTGGTTTTAAACCTTTAATGATTCTTTTTATTGTTGTTGAACAAAAATGAAGATATTTTGAAGAATGCTGGAAACTCATAGCCATTAATTACATAACAGGAAAACAAATACTATGGAAGTCAATGGCTGCAGCTTCTAGCATTCTTTAAAATACCTTTTTTGTTAACAGAAACAGGTATGGAACAAGTAAAGGACAAATTTAGATTTTTTGGTAAACTATTCATTTAAGCTTCATTAACTAATAGCAGCTAAGTATTGTGTTTAGAAGCACTCAATTCATTAAAACAACAAAGCCAAGCCTGTTGACCAGCAGTAGGGTCTACATTTCAGAATAATGCAAACTTTACCGAAACTGCTGTCAGTGATGTTTAGGTCACACACAGTGATAACATGAACTAGCTCACAATAGCATAGACAACACAAGTTATGAGAATTCTTTGATAAGCACTTACCTTTGCCCCGAACATGTCGTGCCGCAGACAGACACTGCTGATAGTGAACATACAGTTTTAGAAAACAGTGGCTCTCATCTCATCCACTAAATACGTCTACAAACAAATGATGCATGAAATGTGCATATGAAGATCATGATTAATAAAAAACCTTCCATTATAAATTGGATTCTAAATATACCAAAATCAAAACAGAAATAAGACGCAATATCACACGAGTAGCAGTGCGATATGGCTGTATATCAGCACTGATGGGATGCGTGCGTTGGCGCGAGGCCCAGGCGGAGTGCTTTAGTGTCCCACCAGTGCTGATATACAGCTATATCGCACTGCTACTCGTGTGATATTGCGTTTATACAACAGTTCGACTGCACAATCGTGTATATACATAACAAAATCAAACACGGAGTGTCCAAAAACTTTTTTGTATTAGGAACTACTTTCTTCCACCATCCATTCACATCTGCAGCTGATGTCAGAACATGAGAAGCTGTTACTAATTTACCTACGTCACTTTAGAGCTAGTGTTTGAATGACTCTCTATAGCGTTATTTCTAAAGTGATGATAAAACAGCTGATTTTGCTCACATTTTAAGATTAAAAGGCTGAACGTGACATGAGATGCCATCAGTCTACAGAGATATCTCCTTACAGTCTATTATAGTCTACAGTATTTCTCTGTCGTCGTTGGTATTGTGACGGGTGCCAGGTGTCCCAGCATTTACCCGAAGACTTTAGGGATTAAAAAATGTTACATTATTGAAACAAAAGAATAATACAGCGATGGAGTGACACCAACCTCCTCAGAGCTCACCAGAACTGAACTCCCATACATGCGTGCTTACATCTCAAAGGAAAAACAACCACAAAAGAAGTCCTTTTAAATGGGGACATGACATTTATACACAAAAAATATCAAACATTAAGCTACTGTTACAATATCACAATAATTAATCTCGAAAAAAGATCACTAAATCACTACCAGACTGCTGTTGTGTTTGCGATAAGGAGGGACGAGACTGAATCCAGCTTCTTATTGACTGTATCTGGTCCACCTTAAAACCTTAACGCTTCAGTTTTGCAGCTTCTTGTTTGTGCTCAAGTAAACATGCAAGCAAGGGCTTATTATGCAGTCCTGGCGCCATCTTGAGGATAAACAACGTCAACCGTCTTTGACTAATGGACACTGACACGCTGTCTCTCAGAAATTATAAATATTTTAAAATAGGCTCTATCCTCATAAATAAACTGCATCATTGCAATTTAAACAACTACATTCTCGACTAAAATAGTCTCAAAAGTGCATTATGTTGCCTAACAGCAGGAATATGTCAAACTGTAGAGCGTCCTCTGCTTGTATGTGGGCAATATATTAGAGATGCGCGGTTGGCGGTTATAGCCGCGGACTCCGCGGATAAACTGCGGATCGGGCGGATGACGTTACGAAAAAATAATATTTTAATTAAATTCGGGCGGGTGGCGGGCGGTTGTACTGTTTTTATATACATAGCTGGCGCACCAACGAAAAAGCCTAGGACTGACTTCACAGAATGGGAGGAGGAATTGGATACACTAATTCTGGATGAAGTGTACAGAAGTATTCCTCTACAAACTTCCGTATAGACGGATATTCAGAGCAAAATCTACTTTCCTTTTGGGAGAAATAAGGCAGGCATTCCCACGACTACAGCACCTTTCCAAGAGAATTCTATGCATTTCAGCAACAAGTGCTGCGAGCGAGAGCTCCTTCAGTGCAGCAGGGCGCATTATAGTGGCTATGCAGGCGCTCCCGTCTGAATCCTGACACAGATGCTATTTTATTCCTGCATTGTGCCAAGAAAAAAATCGAACTAGACCTAAGGTCAGGCATATTAAACCAATTAGCCTATGTTATTTAGGCTACACATATGTTCAATATAAACTTTTGAGTTCGGTCAGCTGATAATTTTACGTTCATATTGGTTTAGCCTATTCTATTCTAGACATGTTGGCCTCGCTTTTACGTTCCGAGGCTAAGGTTATTTTGCCAGAATTTCTTTGTCGCAACTTTAATGGCGTAGTATTTCGTTATGCTTCAAGTTTGAGGGGAATGGGGATGATCCTAAGTCTATGGGTTATTGGGGCACTTGTCATACATGCACTTTAGCCTGGTCAGAATATGTTCGCTCAAAGAGGGATGGCATATCTATTTTTCTAATTTAATTTCTAATTGTGGGGGTGACTGAGCCTACAAGGCTTAGGCACGATATGACGTTTTTATTAAAACATTTTCAACTGTTTGCCAAAGCATGCGACTATAGCCTATGCCTACATTAAGATATTTATGTTAATATTTTTTTTTACTGCCTGTTGTTTCTTTTGGCATATAAAATAGGTATTGTCTGATAGAGATATCAATATAGGTTCATCTGTGTCGCAGAACTGTGTTGTTTCCGATTTCTACAAGCTCAATAACATCCACAGCCAAAAATAAAAAATAGTCGAAAAACTGTGCCCATTAATTAGATGTGCAAGGCAAGCAGGTATGTTTTTGGGGTTGCTATGGACAACTGCAAATGTAAACATTATTAGGCTATAATGTAAATGACTTATTATTCTATCTATTTACTAAAAAATAAAGTGAAATATAGGCATTTAGTAGTAGGCTAAATAGCAGCATGTTGAAATGATGTGTCAATGCGTTTTCTATTAGGCTACAATAAAAAAAAAAGTTGTATAGTACAGTGCGTTTAATTTAGGCTATTTATTTATTTTTGTCCCTGTGCGCCGATTGGAGACAGAGTTCACTGCTGATATTCTGAGAGTTCGGGTGCTTCTCATTTCTTATTTGTGCATCCTCGTTACCTTTCCTTGCTTTCTTTCCTCGTGTTTCCACCCCACCGGGATAACTTTACGAGGGAAGGACGCAAGGAAAAGACTGAAGGACCGAGGAATCGAATCAAGTGAAAAGACACGTCCTCGAATCTTTAGCGTAACTTCAAAGCATCGTCAATTAATGACTTGCACGTTTGGATTAACTGCATGTCTACATTAAAGTCATTCTCTATTATATAATGATTAATAAAGAAACATTCATTTAATAAAAAAAGGAATAAGCCATTCAAATAAAGAGCTCAGTCAGCAGATGGCGGGCGGGTGCGGTTTTTAAAATTGGTCAAAAATGTTAGTGCGGATGGATGGCGGACGGATGATGAATTTCGTCATGCGGTTGCGGATGAAATAATAGCCCATCCGCGCATCTCTACAATATATACACAAAGGTGAAGAGGCCTTTGTGTGCTGTTACTGGCAAAATATCTCACAGCTATCAGCCAATCAGATTCAAGAACCAGACAGAACTGTTGTATATATATATATATATATATATATATATATAAACAAATATATATATATATATATATATATATATATATATATATATATATATATATATATATATATATATATATATATATACACACACACACACACAAGGCTTGCACACCTAATTGAAGAAATTGCGGCGCATGACCTGATTGCAAATTCCACTAGTACAATGTGAGGGCAGCATGGTGCATTTCCAATTCATTTAGCCAGAAGATTCGCCTCATTCACACAGTAAGAGCATTACACTTAATTTCTATCTAATTGAACTGAAAGTGCTCGCTCTTCTGTGCTCCCAACGTGTCAATGGAAATGCAGTATTGTCTTTCTCTGGACGAGGGCCACTTTGCGAAGCTCTTTTATGGAGCTGGTTTGGGTGTATATTATGCGAATGACTAACCTCATGCATATGAGCGCTTATAAGACTCCACATTCACTAATCCACGTTTGACCCAATTTCCCCGGTTTGTTTTACAAGTGTGAGTGCTCCGAATTGGGCCCAGGCACAGTTCAGATGGACACCCTGGCTCGGTTGAAAAGGTGTGGTAGAGCGCGATTCGATTGGGCTTTGGCGTGATATACTTGTAGCTCATTCATTTTCTTTTCGGCTTAGTCCCTTTATTAATCCGGGGTTGCCACAGCGGAAGGAACTTATCCAGCTTTTTATGTTTTATGCTGCGGATGCCCTTTCAGCTGCAACCCAACACCAGGAAACCCCCATACACACTTACATTCACATACATACACTATAGCCAATTTAACTTTTTCAATTCACCTATAGCGCACGTCTTTGGACTGTGGGAAACCCATGCAAACATAGGGAGAACAGTCAAACTCCACACAGAAATGCCAACTGGCACAGCCAGAGCTCGAACCAGCGACCTTCTTGCTGTGAAATATACTTGTACTGTGAGTGCAAAATGCACCTGAGTGCGAAACTAAAGAAGCGACGTCACTTTTAAGGGACTGTTTCATATGGATTTATTAATCATTCTTACTTTTCATTGAACACAAACCGTCATAGTTTATTTAATATACAAACCCCTCACTGCACATCAACCGCACCTTCAGCAAACCACCTCAAGGCTGGTTTATATTTCTGCGTCAAACCACAGCAGCGGCGCATGCCTTGTGCATAGCCATTCATTTATACTTCCGCATGCTGTTTGAGTTGCTCTTCTATAACACTTTGACTAAACGCTAGCTGGCAGTAGGTTATGTTCCTTTTTATCGAGTTTCTTAGCGGGTGTCTTGTTGTTTCTAATCATTACTTTGATGTACAAGTAGCTAAAACTCGCTCATTCAAAGGTGCATGCACATGGCGACAACTTTAATTATAAGCAAAATAAGGTAAACACAAAACATCTGGGGCCTCATGTATCAACGGTGCGTACACACAAAAATATTGCGTACGCCAGATTTCACTCTCACGTTTCGATTTACTAACGATGAAATGAACGTGGGAATATGCGCAGCTCCACGCCAACTTCATGTCTGGCGTACGTGCATTTCTTGTGTGTGTGTGTGTGTTTTATTTCCATTGGCGACTCCTAGAGGCAATTATGTTAAATTGCACACTACAAAGTATCTTTGAGCCGTGCAATGACAGCTGTATGGGACGGGATCATCCGCATGTCTAGCAGGTATATAAGGTTTCCATATCATGCAGTTGACTAGGCAAACATTAAAGCGCAACTTGCAGCGGTCGCCGGTTTTCCCAATGTAATTGGAGCGATCTACTGCATGCACATTGCTATAAAGGCGCCATCTGAAGACAAATTTGCATACCTGAATCGGAAACATTTCCATTCAATAAAAGTGCA